GACCGGCGGATGTTTGTAACAATTATATAACAATGTTCGACACAAAAATGAACTAATTCCTTCACGTCTCAAATTCATAGTCCAACTAAAAGTGAAACTGTGTTGTAGTACATGTCAGCTGGTTTCTGGTTGGCAAGAAGTATGTCTCTTCTCCCTCTCAAGGGCATGGTCTAGCTTTCGATACTTCTTCTTTTTGGAGGGGCAGTCGGGTAGCCTAGTGGTTAAAGCGTTCACTCGTCACGCCGAAGACCCGGATTCGATTCCCGACATGGGTACAATGTGAACCCCATTTCTGGTGTCCCCCGCCATGATATTGCTGGAATATTGCTAAAAGCGGCGTAAAACCATACTCACTCACTCACTCACTCTTCTTTTTGGGTGGCATCAAACTACATAGATTGTGATCCCAGTATTGTCCTGCTCACCCTGCCGTATCTCAGTAAATGTGTCCAGAGATGTCGAGATGATTTGTTGGCAGTCACTGCTCAGTGACATGTTATTGTGCTTCCTGCTCAGTGACATGTTATTGTGCTTCCTGCTCAGTGACATTTGTTGTGCTTTCCTGCTCAGTGACATGTTATTGTGCTTCCTGCTCAGTGACATGTTATTCTGCTTCCTGCTCAGTGACATGTTATTGTGCTTTCCTGCTCAGTGACATGTTATTGTGCTTCCTGCTCAGTGACACGTTATTCTGCTTCCTGCTCAGTGACATGTTATTGTGCTTCCTGCTCAGTGACATGTTATTGTGCTTCCTGCTCAGTGACATGTTATTGTGCTTCCTGCTCAGTGACATGTTATTGTGCTTCCTGCTCAGTGACATGTTATTGTGCTTCCTGCTCAGTGACACGTTATTGTGCTTCCTGCTCAGTGACATGTTATTGTGCTTCCTGCTCAGTGACATGTTATTGTGCTTCCTGCTCAGTGACACGTTATTGTGCTTCCTGCTCAGTGACATGTTATTGTGCTTCCTGCTCAGTGACATGTTATTGTGCTTCCTGCTCAGTGACATGTGTTGTGCTTCCTGCTCAGTGACATGTTATTGTGCTTCCTGCTCAGTGACATGTTATTGTGCTTCCTGCTCAGTGACATGTTATTGTGCTTCCTGCTCAGTGACATGTGTTGTGCTTCCTGCTCAGTGACATTTGTTGTGCTTTCCTGCTCAGTGACATGTTATTGTGCTTCCTGCTCAGTGACATGTTATTCTGCTTCCTGCTCAGTGACACGTTATTGTGCTTCCTGCTCAGTGACATGTTATTGTGCTTCCTGCTCAGTGACATGTTATTGTGCTTCCTGCTCAGTGACATGTTATTGTGCTTCCTGCTCAATGACATGTGTTGTGCTTCCTGCTCAGTGACACATTATTGTGCTTCCTGCTCAGTGACATGTATTGTGCTTCCTGCTCAGTGACATGTTATTGTGCTTCCTGCTCAGTGACATGTTATTGCGCTTCCTGCTCAGTGACATGTTATTGCGCTTCCTGCTCAGTGACATGTTATTGCGCTTCCTGCTCAGTGACATGTGTTGTGCTTCCTGCTCAGTGACATGTGTTGTGCTTCCTGCTCAGTGACATGTGTTGTGCTTCCTGACAAAGTCTTCTTTGGTTGATGGTGGTTGGGCATCCTCTTTGGGAACATGTCCAGTGAATGGAAGTTTGATGTCCACTCTTAATCCTGAGCTGGTACAAATTGGGAATAGACTGTAAATAAACCAGTGGAAGACTGTTTCTTGCCTCTAATTCCTTTTAAAGCCTAAATCATACGAAGTGATTCATATGTTCACTTATGTTTTAAATGTTTTCCCTCACTATAGTGTATGTGAACATTATTTGTTGTGTCAGATGTGATGCCTCCCTTAATCCCCTACTGACTCACAATCACCGGGCTCGGGTGAACTTGTACATATAACACTAGGTGCTGCACAAGTAGGAACACCCCAATAAACCCCCTGCTGCCTCACAATCACCGGGCTCGGGTGAACTTGTACATATAACACTAGGTGCTGGACAAGTAGGAACACCCCAATAAACCCCCTGCTGCCTCACAATCACCGGGCTCGGGTGAACTTGTACATATAACACTAGGTGCTGGACAAGTAGGAACACCCCAATAAACCCCCTGCTGCCTCACAATCACCGGGCTCGGGTGAACTTGTACATATAACACTAGGTGCTGGACAAGTAGGAACACCCCAATAAACCCCCTGCTGCCTCACAATCACCGGGCTCGGGTGAACTTGTACATATAACACTAGGTGCTGGACAAGTAGGAACACCCCAATAAACCCCCTGCTGCCTCACAATCACCGGGCTCGGGTGAACTTGTACATATAACACTAGGTGCTGGACAAGTAGGAACACCCCAATAAACTCCCTGCTGCCTCACAATCACCGGGCTCGGGTGAACTTGTACATATAACACTAGGTGCTGGACAAGTAGGAACACCCCAATAAACCCCCTGCTGCCTCACAATCACCGGGCTCGGGTGAACTTGTACATATAACACTAGGTGCTGGACAAGTAGGAACACCCCAATAAACCCCCTGCTGCCTCACAATCACCGGGCTCGGGTGAACTTGTACATATAACACTAGGTGCTGGACAAGTAGGAACACCCCAATAAACTCCCTGCTGCCTCACAATCACCGGGCTCGGGTGAACTTGTACATATAACACTAGGTGCTGGACAAGTAGGAACACCCCAATAAACCCCCTGCTGCCTCACAATCACCGGGCTCGGGTGAACTTGTACATATAACACTAGGTGCTGGACAAGTAGGAACACCCCAATAAACCCCCTGCTGCCTCACAATCACCGGGCTCGGGTGAACTTGTACATATAACACTAGGTGCTGGACAAGTAGGAACACCCCAATAAACCCCCTGCTGCCTCACAATCACCGGGCTCGGGTGAACTTGTACATATAACACTAGGTGCTGGACAAGTAGGAACACCCCAATAAACCCCCTGCTGCCTCACAATCACCGGGCTCGGGTGAACTTGTACATATAACACTAGGTGCTGGACAAGTAGGAACACCCCAATAAACCCCCTGCTGCCTCACAATCACCGGGCTCGGGTGAACTTGTACATATAACACTAGGTGCTGGACAAGTAGGAACACCCCAATAAACCCCCTGCTGCCTCACAATCACCGGGCTCGGGTGAACTTGTACATATAACACTAGGTGCTGGACAAGTAGGAACACCCCAATAAACCCCCTGCTGCCTCACAATCACCGGGCTCGGGTGAACTTGTACATATAACACTAGGTGCTGGACAAGTAGGAACACCCCAATAAACCCCCTGCTGCCTCACAATCACCGGGCTCGGGTGAACTTGTACATATAACACTAGGTGCTGGACAAGTAGGAACACCCCAATAGACCCCCTGCTGCCTCACTCCTTTCCCACGGCAATCAAACAGATGAGCAAACACCGGGAACCTGCAGTGAGGGGAATCCCCTCAGTGGCAGATTGTTTTGTTTGGGGGAAGATTTGCGTGTGTTTTTTCCCCACTTTGTGCCATTTCCCTATTTCAAAATAATTTTGGTCAAGCATTTGTGATTAAGTGTGCCCTAAAGTATTAGAATCTGCACAGTTGCCATGTTGAGTTTACTTGCCCTTTAAGGAACATTGGATTGTATTTGGGGCATGATCTTTCACTGTTTGTTGTACTGGTTTGTATATTTTGTCATTGTGTCATTTTACTCAACGACAGCAGCTTTCCTTTTCAAGGATATCGAGAAAAAGGTTTTAATGAGAAAATCTGAAGTCTAAGTTCATTGTTTTGTATTTTCCACCATTGAATGACATGATGTATCTGTTGTATATATAATTGTGATATATCTCTCAAATTGCTGACCACAGGCTGTTGTGATATATCCTTGATATTGCTGTGATTTATATATAATTTTGCTGACTACAGGCTGCTGTGATATTGCTGAATAATCTCACACTCGGCCATCAACAGACTATAATTGTCAATATTTGTTTATCTGTTTCTTCAACATTGTTCGCGTTGGTGCATGGCTTTGTGTCATATCATAGTGAAAACATGTGTCCCCATGAACAAGGAAGTAGGGTTTTACACAACGCAAACATGTGTCCCCATGAACTAGGAAGTAGGGTTTTACACAACGCAAACATGTGTCCCCATGAACAAGGAAGTAGGGTTTTACACAAATCAAACATGTGTCCCCATGAAGTAGGAAGTAGGGTTTTACACAACGCAAACATGTGTCCCCATGAACTAGGAAGTAGGGTTTTACACAAATCAAACATGTGTCCCCATGAACAAGGAAGCAGGGTTTTACACAACGCTAACATGTGCGTCCAGTATGCACACATGTATAGAATGGATGCAGAAAAAAACCGTTGCATCTACAATATTCATTGTACCAAATTCTTGACAAGAAATGTTAAGTTCCTATAATTAAAGGAATCATTAAATCTTACAGAAAAGGACACTTCACCATTTCCTTACTTTACTGTACCCACATATGTCCTGTAAGGACCTTGAAGTTAGCATGTTTATTGATCAAGACAAAGTCCTGATGACTCAAGAAGTGCTGGGTGTTTGTGTTTCTATGTTTGACTGTTTGATTCCATGCATGTGCTCACAGTCAGGTCAAACCCCACTGGGCTGATGTTGTTTTTGCAGTCAGTGTTTTTTCTTGTGTTTTGTTCTTTATTTGTTATTATTTATGTTAAGACAAAGTATGTTCAATAGTTGTTTGTAGATTTGTTTGAGTTATCACAATGTTCATATTACCATTATTACAAGATTTGCCATGGTTGCTGCCATGTGAAGGTCAGAAGTAATATAATGTAGAACCACATTCTACCATCATCCAATATTTGTATTGTAAATCATCTATCTATTGGTAATCAATTTTCTAAAACAACTAAAGTAAGTGGAGCATTGATAACACCCTGCTGGTAGATCTGCCTCTTGTTATGACTCATGTGGATTGATCGTACGGTTGCTTTGTGTTGCCAGTCCTCCCACAATTCCTTCAAGCCTGTGGACCCAGTCTCCCTCCACAGAAAGTCATCTGCTCACACCTCCAGAAGTTTCAAAGAGAGGCTAAAGAGAAAGAAAGAATTGGTTGAGCAGAAATTTAGAGAGAGAGCAATGAAGAAAACAGCTTTGTTGAAAGGCAAGTTGAAAATGAGATCTCACGACACAAAGAAAGGCGGACGAGTGGATGAGGGCGCACGGAAGAAGAGTGGGAGGATGGAGGAACACCCTCGCAAGAAGAGGATGGTTCGCCGCAGTAGCGTGAGGCTGAAGGAACTCACTAAAGCTATGAAAGCGAAGAAGAAGAGGAGAAGGGTGATGGAGATGGAGGAAGAAGAAGTGACGATAACGCTTCCCCGTCCCAGTCGACCAGTGGGGAGGAAGAGGAACTTTGCTCCTCGTCCCGTGGGAGGAGGTGGCGTGACAGATATGCCACGATTCGTTCGAGAGGAAGAGGACTTTCAAATGTACAGTGATGATGACGATGATGATGATGAAGTATCTTTCGGGAAGGTGTCGTCAAGTCCCAGGCCGCAGAGCGTGAAGGAGAGGAAGGAGAAGAGTTCGGGCAGGAAGAAGAAGGTGGTTGGTATGAGGACGCGGAGCTCCATCCAGAAGGTGGTGTCGTCTCCCGCCAAGATTGTGGCAAGCAAACGACTGTCAGCTGTGAAGAAGTTGCGGAAGACCAAGGGGGACCAGATGATGCTGTCCAAGATTATTGAGAAGAGAAGGAGGCTCAAACAGGAGGATGGGCAGGGGGAGGCAGCGAAGAGGGGGAGGAAACCCACAGGTGAGCAGTCAGTGAGTGGAGGGAGGATGAGGGGGGGGGGACGGGGGGACAGGTAGATGGAGGGAACACACAGGTGAGCAGTCAGAAGATGGAGGGAGGAGGTGGGGAGGGGACAGGTAGATGGAGGCAACACACAGGTGGGCAGTCAGTAGGTGGAGGGAGGAGGTGGGGAGGGGACAGGTAGATGGAGGGGACAGGTAGATGGAGGGGACAGGTAGATGGAGGGGACAGGTAGATGGAGGGGACAGGTAGATGGAGGGAACACACAGGTGGGCAGTCAGTAGGTGGAGGGAGGAGGTGGGGAGGGGACAGGTAGATGGAGGGGACAGGTAGATGGAGGGGACAGGTAGATGGAGGGAACACACAGGTGGGCAGTCAGTAGGTGGAGGGAGGAGGTGGGGAGGGGACAGGTAGATGGAGGGAACACACAGGTGGGCAGTCAGTAGGTGGAGGGAGGAGGTGGGGAGGGGACAGGTAGATGGAGGGGACAGGTAGATGGAGGGAACACACAGGTGGGCAGTCAGTAGGTGGAGGTGGGGAGGGGACAGGTAGATGGAGGGGACAGGTAGATGGAGGGGACACACAGGTGGGCAGTCAGTAGGTGGAGGGAGGAGGTGGGGAGGGGACAGGTAGATGGAGGGGACAGGTAGATGGAGGGGACAGGTAGATGGAAGGGACAGGTAGATGGAGGGAACACACAGGTGGGCAGTCAGTAGGTGGAGGTGGGGAGGGGACAGGTAGATGGAGGGGACAGGTAGATGGAGGGGACACACAGGTGGGCACTCAGTAGGTGGAGGGAGGAGGTGGGGAGGGGACAGGTAGATGGAGGGGACAGGTAGATGGAGGGGACACACAGGTGGGCAGTCAGTAGGTGGAGGGAGGAGGTGGGGAGGGGACAGGTAGATGGAGGGGACACACAGGTGGGCAGTCTGTAGGTGGAGGGAGGGACAGGGGACAGGGGTGGGTGGTCAATGGAGGAAACCCAAAGGGGTGAGCGGGCAACAAAGGGGTTGCAGGGAGTGGGGACGTATTTGTACAATGTTGAGAAGAGGAGGTCGTCTCACTCGCAACCTTTAAGTCACTGATAAAGAAATATCAGGTTTGAAAGAGTCATGCCATCTTTATTCCAGGTTCAAAGAAACTTGGCAGTCCTGAGAAGCAGAGTCGTTCGGACTCCGCCCTGAAGGCTGACCTGTCCAGTCTGATGGAGGTCCCGACGTTCCGCCCTTCGGAGGAGGAGTTCCGCGATCCCATCCAGTACATTGAGAGTATCCGGGAGCAGGCTGAGCCATTTGGCATGTGTCAGATCATCCCCCCTTCCAGCTGGAAGGTAAGTGTTAGACCATCCTCCTGTAACAGTGTGTTAGACCATCCTCCTGTAGCAGTGTGTTAGACCATCCTCCTGTAGCAGTGTTAGACCATCCTCCTGTAGCAGTGTTAGACCATCCTCCTGTAGCAGTGTTAGACCATCCTCCTGTAGCAGTGTGTTAGACCATCCTCCTGTAGCAGATTGTTAGACCATCCTCCTGTAGCAGAGTGTTAGACCATCCTCCTGTAGCAGGGTGTTAGACCATCCTCCTGTAGCAGGGTGTTAGACCATCCTCCTGTAGCAGGGTGTTAGAACATCCTCCTGTAACAGGGTGTTAGACCATCCTCCTGTAGCAGGGTGTTAGACCTTCCTCCTGTACCCGGGTGTTAGACCTTCCTCCTGTATCAGATTGTTAGACCATCCTCCTGTGGCAGGGTGTTAGACCATCCTCCTGCAGCAGAGTGTTAGACCATCCTCCTGTAGCAGATTGTTAGACCATCCTCCTGGAGCAGGATGTTAGACCATCCTCCTGGAGCAGGATGTTAGACCATCCTCCTGTAGCAGGATATTAGACCATCCTCCTGTAGCAGGGTGTCAGACCGTCGTCCTTTAGCAGGATAGACCATCCTCCTGCATCAATGTGTTAGACCATCCTCCTGTAGCAGTGTGTTAGACCATCCTCCTGTAGCAGGGTGTTAGAACATCCTCCTGTAACAGGGTGTTAGACCATCCTCCTGTAGCAGGGTGTTAGACCTTCCTCCTGTACCCGGGTGTTAGACCTTCCTCCTGTATCAGATTGTTAGACCATCCTCCTGTGGCAGGGTGTTAGACCATCCTCCTGCAGCAGAGTGTTAGACCATCCTCCTGCAGCAGATTGTTAGACCATCCTCCTGGAGCAGGATGTTAGACCATCCTCCTGGAGCAGGATGTTAGACCATCCTCCTGGAGCAGGATGTTAGACCATCCTCCTGTAGCAGGGTGTCAGACCGTCCTCCTTTAGCAGGATAGACCATCCTCCTGCATCAATGTGTTAGACCATCCTCCTGTAGCAGTGTGTTAGACCATCCTCCTGTAGCAGAGTAAGACCTTCCTCCTGTATCATGTTAGACCATCCTCCTGTAGCAGCGTGTTAGACCATCCTCCTCTAGCAAGGTCTGTTAGAGCATCTTACTGTAGCAGGGTCTGTTAGACCATCCTCCTGTAGCAGGGACTGTCAGACTGTCCTCCTTTAGCAGGATAGACCATCCTTAGGTGTTAGACCATCTTGCTGGAACAGGATGTTAGACCATCCTCCTGCATCAGGGTGTTGGACCATCTTCCTGTAGCAGGGTGTTAGACCATCTGTTACGTAGCATCCATGTTGCGTGTTACAGTGTGAGAGTAAGATCAACGAGGACATGAGATTCACAGCCCAAGTCCAGCTGGTACACAAGCTGTACAAGAGGTGAGTTAGTACTATTCATCTTCTGTCCTGGATGAATGTGTGTTGTCATCTTCTGTCCTGGATGAATGTGTGTTGTTCTGGATGAATGTGTGTTGTCCTGGATGAATGTGTGTTGTCATCTTCTGTCCTGGATGAATGTGTGTTGTTCTGGATGAATGTGTGTTGTCCTGGATGAATGTGTGTTGTTCTGGATGAATGTGTGTTGATCTGGATGAATGTGTGTTGTCCTGGATGAAATGTGTGTTGATCTGGATGAATGTGTGTTGTCCTGGATGAATGTGTGTTGATCTGGATGAATGTGTGTTGTCCTGGATGAATGTGTGTTGTTCTGGATGAATGTGTGTTGTCCTGGATCAATGTGTGTTGTTCTGGATGAATGTGTGTTGTCCTGGATGAATGTGTGTTGTCCTGGATGAATGTGTGTTGTCCTGGATCCATGTGTGTTGTCCTGGGTGAATGTGTGTTGTCCTGGATGAATGTGTGTTGTTCTGGATGAATGTGTGTTGTCCTGGATGAATGTGTGTTGATCTGGATGAATGTGTGTTGTCCTGGATGTATGTGTGTTGTTCTGGATGAATGTGTGTTGTCCTGGATGAATGTGTGTTGTCCTGGATGAATGTGTGTTGTCCTGGATGAATGTGTGTTGATCTGGATGAATGTGTGTTGTCCTGGATGAATGTGTGTTGTTGTGGATGAATGTGTGTTGTCCTGGATGAATGTGTGTTGTTCTGGATCCATGTGTGTTGTCCTGGGTGAATGTGTGTTGTTCTGGATGAATGTGTGTTGTCCTGGGTGAATGTGTGTTGTTCTGGATGAATGTGTGTTGATCTGGATCAATGTGTGTTGTCCTGGATGAATGTGTGTTGTCCTGGATGAATGTGTGTTGTGGCATTCTCATCAACTGAGAGTCATCTCCTGTATGTCTTGCTCTGGATTAATATCTTTGTCTCAGGTGGGGTCCTAACATCCAGTTCACAGCCTCAGCCAACAAGCACCTGGGCGCCATAGGGGCCGATCTGGAGCCGTCTCCCCAGGTAGGTATAAATTGTCAATGCAGGAGAATAACCAGTCTAGATAATCCCCCAAACGGTTCTCATTTGGCGTAAAGGGCAAAATAGCTGTGAAAAGTACATGAAAGGATCACTGAAAAATCAATGATGACAGCAGGTGCTCGCTTAAAGGGTAAGCTTGTCCTGGCCAAGTGGTGACGAGAGGTTGCTGATGTTGCAGATCGGTGGAGTGGAGGTAGATCTGTACAAGTTGTCGCGGACAATCATGGAGTTTGGGGGGATGCAGAACGTGGTGGACAAGAAGAAGTGGGTGAAGATCGCGGATGCCATGAAGATCCCCAAACTGGTGAGTCGAGCATCTGGGCTATCTCCTGGGCTATCTGCTTCACTATCAGCTGGGCTATCTGCTGGGCTATCTGCTGGGCTATCAGCTGTTTGCAGGTTACTGTGATAGCATGGAAAAGAAAAATATAATGAACAGGAAAATGAGTATTAGGGATCATGAGTATTTTGGGGATGTGTTTTTAGTAGTGAAGACTGAGCACACAGTTTCATAAGAATTTCCCTGGTCTTTTTTTGTTCAGTATATATTTTTTGGTTTGGATAAGTAAGTTCCTAAACTAATTGAACCATTTGCTAGGAACAGATTGATCATGTTGGACAAGTGCTTTAGATAAAGATTTCTCCATGTGTATTTTCAAGGAATCTAGACATATACATGTAGGCTCAAGTGACCCAGTTGTCTCAGGCACCAGCAGCCGCTGTGCAGAGTTCCGTCCTTTTGGCATGTGGGTTCGCATCCTGGTTTGCCCTGATTTTGTTTCTAGTTTTGTCAGCACCATACCCGTGCTCGGTGGTTTCACCAAAGTGGTTAACGTCTGAGACCTGCATCACTTTTGGCTTTCTCCCCACATTAAGCTGCCACGCTGTGATATAACTGAAATACTGTTCAAAGCGGCGTAAACCCTCTCACTCACTCACTCAACTCATTCAACTCACTCACTCACTCAACCACTCACTCAACCAACCACCCACCTAACCACCCACCTACTCACTCAACTCACTCAACTCACTCAACTCACTCACTCACTCAGTCAGTCACTCAACTCACTCACTCATTCACTCACTCAACTCACTCACTCATTCACTCACTCACTCAACTCGCTCGCTCACTCACTCACTCACTCATGTAATATTGGCCCCCAGGCCCAGGATCGTGGCATGTGCCTGTACGACGTGTACTGCCAGTACCTGCTGCCCTATGACACTCACTCACTCACTCACTCACTCACTCACTCACTCACTCACTCACTCACTCACTCATGTAATATTGGCCCCCAGGCCCAGGACCGAGGGATGCGTCTGTACGACGTGTACTGCCAGTACCTGCTGCCCTATGACACTCACTCACTCACTCACTCACTCACTCACTCACTCACTCACTCACTCACTCATGTAATATTGGCCCCCAGGCCCAGGACCGAGGGATGCGTCTGTACGACGTGTACTGCAAGTACCTGCTGCCCTATGACACTCACTCACTCACTCACTCACTCACTCATGTAATATTGGCCCCCAGGCCCAGGACCGAGGGATGCGTCTGTACGACGTGTACTGCAAGTACCTGCTGCCCTATGACACTCACTCACTCACTCACTCACTCACTCACTCACTCACTCACTCATGTAATATTGGCCCCCAGGCCCAGGACCGAGGGATGCGTCTGTACGACGTGTACTGCAAGTACCTGCTGCCCTATGACACTCACTCACTCACTCACTCACTCATGTAATATTGGCCCCCAGGCCCAGGACCGAGGCATGCGTCTGTACGACGTGTACTGCCAGTACCTGCTGCCCTATGACACTCACTCACTCACTCACTCATGTAATATTGGCCCCCAGGCCCAGGACCGAGGGATGCGTCTGTACGACGTGTACTGCCAGTACCTGCTGCCCTATGACACTCACTCACTCACTCACTCACTCACTCACTCATGTAATATTGGCCCCCAGGCCCAGGACCGAGGGATGCGTCTGTACGACGTGTACTGCAAGTACCTGCTGCCCTATGACACTCACTCACTCACTCACTCACTCATGTAATATTGGCCCCCAGGCCCAGGACCGAGGCATGCGTCTGTACGACGTGTACTGCCAGTACCTGCTGCCCTATGACACTCACTCACTCACTAACTCACTCACTCACTCACTCACTCACTCACTCACTCACTCATGTAATATTGGCCCCCAGGCCCAGGACCGAGGCATGCGTCTGTACGACGTGTACTGCAAGTACCTGCTGCCCTATGACACTCACTCACTCACTCACTCACTCATGTAATATTGGCCCCCAGGCCCAGGACCGAGGCATGCGTCTGTACGACGTGTACTGCAAGTACCTGCTGCCCTATGACACTCACTCACTCACTCACTCACTCACTCATGTAATATTGTCCCCCAGGCCCAGGACCGAGGGATGCGTCTGTACGACGTGTACTGCAAGTACCTGCTGCCCTATGACACGCTGTCCATGGACGAGAAGACCTGCCTAGAGCAGTCCGTCATGTCGGAGAGGCAGAGGAAGGAGAAATCAGGGAAAGGGGAAGATGAGGAGGCCATCGTCAAGGTGAGACGTTGCCAGGCTGTGGTTGGGCCATGACACTGGGCGTGAGAATGACTGTTGTAATACTCATTTATCGCTCATAGTGCATCAGTGTTAGCGCATCACAATTATGTAACCAGTTATGTAATTAGACTATGCGTAGGACTATTCCCCGCGCTTGCACTTCTTGTACCTGTATCATCAGGAAGTCATCCAATTAGACCAAGTCACCCTAAAGTGTGTTTGTCTGCTATTACCTGAAGTCCTGACTGAACAGTATATGTAGCATGGTTCTACAACAATGCCTGATGTTTAACTTTCACTGTTTTAAGGGCAAATCCAACCCACTGAGCACTTTCAACAGGGTTGCAAGGAATGTCCGCTCCATGTGGTTTAAGGACGAACCAACTCCAGAACAAGTTGAGGTGAGATATTGTCAGATACTTTCATTGTGTTCCCCAACACCTATCCCTACCCCACCTCCTCCTACCCCCATCCCCTCCTACCCCCTCCTACCCCCACCCCCACCTCCTCCTACCCCCACAAACTCCTACCCCCATCCCCTCCTACCCCCTCCTACCCCCTCCTACCCCCACCCCCACCCCCTCCCACCCCCACCTCCTCCTACCCCCATCCCCTCCTACCCCCTCCTACCCCCTCCTACCCCCACCCCCACCTCCTCCTACCCCCACAAACTCCTACCCCCACCTCCTCCTACCCCCACAAACTCCTACCCCCATCCCCTCCTACCCCCACCAACTCCTACCCCCATCCCCTCCTACCCCCTCCTACCCCCTCCTACCCCCACCCCCACCTCCTCCTACCCCCACAAACTCCTACCCCCATCCCCTCCTACCCCCTCCTACCCCCTCCTACCCCCACCCCCACCCCCTCCCACCCCCACCTCCTCCTACCCCCACCTCCTCCTACCCCCATCCCCTCCTACCCCCTCCTACCCCCTCCTACCCCCACCCCCACCTCCTCCTACCCCCACAAACTCCTACCCCTACCCCTCCTACACCCACCAACACCTATCCCTACCCTACCCCCTCCTACCCCCACCCCCACCTCCTCCTACCCCCACAAACTCCTACCCCTACCCCCTCCTACACCCACCAACACCTATCCCTACCCTACCCCCTCCTACCCCCATCCCCTCCTACCCCCACCCATTCCATCCCCCACCCACACCTACCCCTACCCCATATCCTACCCTACCTGATGTAGTACAATGTTGCAGTGTGAGTACTGATGTAGTACAATGTTGCAGTGTGAGTACTGATGCAGTACAATGTTGCAGTGTGAGTACTGATGCAGTACAATGTTGCAGTGTGAGTACTGATGGAGTACAATGTTGCAGTGTGAGTACTTATGCAGTACAATGTTGCAGTGTGAGTACTGATGTAGTACAATGTTGCAGTGTGAGTACTGATGGAGTACAATGTTGCAGTGTGAGTACTGATGGAGTACAATGTTGCAGTGTGAGAACTGATGGAGTACAATGTTGCAGTGTGAGTACTGATGTAGTTCAATGTTGCAGTGTGAGTACTGATGGAGTACAATGTTGCAGTGTGAGTACTGATGGAGTACAGTGTTGCAGTGTGAGTACTGATGGAGTACAATGTTGCAGTGTGAGTACTGATGGAGTACAATGTTGCAGTGTGAGTACTGATGGAGTACAATGTTGCAGTGTGAGTACTGATGGAGTACAATGTTGCAGTGTGAGTACTGATGGAATACAATGTTGCAGTGTGAGTACTAATGGAGTACAATGTTGCAGTGTGAGTACTGATGTAGTACAATGTTGCAGTGTGAGTACTGATGGAGTACAATGTTGCAGTGTGAGTACTGATGGAGTACAATGTTGCAGTGTGAGTACTGGAGGCTGGTGGAGGGCCGCAGCAATCACGTGGCGGTGCAGTGCGGCCATGTCAGTACCAGCACCCAGGGGTCCGGCTTCCCCAGCAAGAAGGACAGCCCTTACGCTAGGTAGGTTCAGACATGTCGGGTAACACTAATAGTTGACCTTTTGTCACATTCTTCCACTTCGATGATGGTAAGTGATGGTGAATGATTAAGGGTGTCCATGTCATCTTGTTTGTAGGCACAGCTGGAATCTCAACAACCTCTCCGACAACCCCAAGTGCATTCTACGGTGCTTAGGACCAGTCTCAGGTGAGCTGTCACATGACTGTCACATGACTGTCCCGTCTGTCACACGTCTGTCACATGACTGTCACATGACTGTCCCATGAACGGTTTCACTGTGCCAAACCTTGACATTCATGAGCTGAGGAATCTGTAACTGACTTTACGTAGATGATGTGTGTGTTTGTGTGACCTGTACATGACTTGTGTGTTTGTGTGACCTGTACATGACTTGTGTGTTTGTGTGACCTGTACATGTGTGTGTTTATGTGACCTGTACATGACCTGTGTGTGTTTGTGTGACCTGTACATGATGTGTGTTTGTGTGACCATACATGATGTGTGTGTTTGTGTGACCTGTACATGATGTGTGTTTGTGTGACCTGTACATGTGTGTGTTTATGTGACCTGTACATGACCTGTGTGTGTTTGTGTGACCTGTACATGACGTGTGTGTTTGTGTGACCTGTACATGATGTGTGTGTTTGTGTGACCCGTACATGACTTGCGTGTTTGTGTGACCTGTACATGATGTGTGTTTGTGTGACCTGTACATGTGTGTGTTAGTGTGACCTGTACATGATGTGTGTTTGTGTGACCTGTACATGTGTGTGTTAGTGTGACCTGTACATGACCTGTGTGTGTTTGTGTGACCTGTACATGATGTGTGTTTGTGTGACCTGTACATGTGTGTGTTAGTGTGACCTGTACATGACCTGTGTGTGTTTGTGTGACCTGTACATGTGTGTGTTTGTGTGACCCGTACATGATGTGTGTTTGTGTGACCTGTACATGATGTGTGTTTGTGTGACCTGTACATGTGTGTGTTAGTGTGACCCGTACATGATGTGTGTTTGTGTGACCTGTACATGTGTGTGTTTGTGTGACCTGTACATGATGTGTGTTAGTGTGACCTGTACATGTGTGTTTGTGTGACCTGTACATGTGTGTGTTTGTGTGACCTGTACATGTGTGTGTTTGTGTCACCCGTACATGATGTGTGTTTGTGTGACCTGTACATGTGTGTGTTAGTGTGACCTGTACATGATGTGTGTTAGTGTGACCTGTACATGACCTGTGTGTGTTTGTGTGACCCGTACATGATGTGTGTTTGTGTGACCTGTACATGATGTGTGTTTGTGTGACCTGTACATGTGTGTGTTAGTGTGACCTGTACATGATGTGTGTTAGTGTGACCTGTACATGATGTGTGTTTGTGTGACCTGTACATGATGTGTGTTTGTGTGACCTGTACATGATGTGTGTTTGTGTGACCTGTACATGATGTGTGTTTGTGTGACCTGTACATGATGTGTGTTAGTGTGACCTGTACATGACGTGTGTGTTTGTGTGACCTGTACATGACGTGTGTGTTTGTGTGACCTGTACATGACTTGCGTGTTTGTGTGACCCGTACATGACTTGCGTGTTTGTGTGACCCGTACATGACTTGCGTGTTTGTGTGACCTGTACATGATGTGTGTTTGTGTGACCCATACATGATGTGTGTTTATGTGACCTGTACATGATGTGCGTGTTTGTGTGACCCGTACATGACTTGCGTGTTTGTGTGACCCGTACATGATGTGCGTGTTTGTGTGACCCGTACATGACTTGCGTGTTTGTGTGACCTGTACATGATGTGTGTTTGTGTGACCTGTACATGTGTGTGTTAGTGTGACCTGTACATGACCTGTGTGTGTTTGTGTGACCCGTACATGACGTCTGTGTTTGTGTGACCTGTACATGATGTGTGTTTGTGTGACCTGTACATGTGTGTGTTAGTGTGACCTGTACATGACCTGTGTGTGTTTGTGTGACCCGTACATGACGTGTGTGTTTGTGTGATCTGTACATGACTTGCGTGTTTGTGTGACCTGTACATGTGTGTGTTAGTGTGACCTGTACATGATGTGTGTTTGTGTGACCTGTACATGATGTGTGTTTGTGTGACCTGTACATGACGTGTGTGTTTGTGTGACCTGTACATGATGTGTGTGTTTGTGTGACCCGTACATGACGTGTGTGTTTGTGTGACCTGTACATGATGTGTGTTTGTGTGACCTGTACATGTGTGTGTTAGTGTGACCTGTACATGACCTGTGTGTGTTTGTGTGACCTGTACATGACGTGTGTGTTTGTGTGACCTGTACATGATGTGCGTGTTTGTGTGACCCGTACATGACTTGCGTGTTTGTGCGACCTGTACATGATGTGTGTTTGTGTGACCTGTACATGATGTGTGTTAGTGTGACCTGTACATGATGTGCGTGTTTGTGTGACCCGTACATGATGTGTGTTAGTGTGACCCGTACATGATGTGTGTTTGTGTGACCTGTACATGTGTGTGTTAGTGTGACCTGTACATGACCTGTGTGTGTTTGTGTGACCTGTACATGATGTGTGTTTGTGTGACCTGTACATGATGTGCGTGTTTGTGTGACCCGTACATGACTTGCGTGTTTGTGTGACCTGTACATGATGTGTGTTTGTGTGACCTGTACATGATGTGCGTGTTTGTGCGACTTGTACATGATGTGTGTTAGTGTGACCTGTACATGACTTGTATGTGTTTCAGGTGCTACTATCCCCACTCTCCACATCGGCATGCTGTTTGCCACGTCCTGCTGGTGTACTGACGTCCATCACCTGCCTTACATACAGTACCTCCACACAGGGGCAGACATTGTCTGGTAGGTCATATGTGTCAATGTCCTTCAAAGTCAACTCTTTTTATGTACTGGAAAGGCAATGTTTTGGTATAGATCCTCTATGTTGTATTGATGGAGGTTTCAGCGTTGTTGTGATGATGGAGGTTTGAGCATTGTGTTGATGAAGGAGGTTTGAGCGTTGTGTTGTGATGATGGAGGTTTGAGCATTGTGTTGATGATGGAGGTTTGAGCATTGTGTTGTGATGATGGAGGTTTGAGCATTGTGTTGATGATGGAGGTTTGAGCATTGTGTTGATGATGGAGATTTGAGCATTGTGTTGATGATGGAGGTTTGAGCATTGTGTTGTGATGATGGAGGTTTGAGCATTGTGTTGTGATGATGGAGGTTTGAGCATTGTGTTGATGATGGAGGTTTGAGCATTGTGTTGATGATGGAGATTTGAGCATTGTGTTGATGATGGAGGTTTGAGCATTGTGTTGTGATGATGGAGGTTTGAGCATTGTGTTGTGATGATGGAGGTTTGAGCATTGTGTTGATGATGGAGGTTTGAGCATTGTGTTGATGATGGAGGTTTGAGCATTGTGTTGTGATGATGGAGGTTTGAGTATTGTGTTGATGATGGAGGTTTGAGCATTGTGTTGATGATGGAAGTTTGAGCATTGTGTTGATGATGGAGGTTTGAGCATTGTTTTGTGATGATGGAGGTTTGAGCATTGTGTTGTGATGATGGAGGTTTGAGCATTGTGTTGATGATGGAAGTTTGAGCATTGTGTTGTGATGATGGAGGTTTGAGCATTGTGTTGATGATGGAGGTTTGAGCGTTGTGTTGATGATGGAGGTTTGAGCATTGTGTTGATGATTGAGCTTTGAGCGTTGTGTTGATGATGGAGGTTTGAGCATTGTGTTGTGAGTGATTGAGGTTTGAGCATTATGTTGTGATGATGGAGGTTTGAGCATTGTGTTGATGATGGAAGTTTGAGCATTGTGTTGTGATGATGGAGGTTTGAGCATTGTGTTGATGATGGAGGTATGAGCGTTGTGTTGATGATGGAGGTTTGAGCATTGTGTTGATGATTGAGGTTTGAGCGTTGTGTTGATGATGGAGGTTTGAGCGTTGTCTTGATGATGGAGGTTTGAGCATTGTGTTGATGATGGAGGTTTGAGCATTGTGTTGATGATGGAGGTTTGAGCATTGTGTTGATGATGGAGGTTTGAGCGTTGTGTTGATGATGGAGGTTTGAGCTTTGTCTTGATGATGGAGGTTTGAGCGTTGTGTTGATGATGGAAGTTTGAGCATTGTGTTGATGATGGAGGTTTGAGCGTTGTGTTGATGATGGAGGTTTGAGCATTGTGTTGATGATGGAGGTTTGAGCATTGTGTTGATGATGGAGGTTTGAGCATTGTGTTGATGATGGAGGTTTGAGCATTGTGTTGATGATGGAGGTTTGAGCGTTGTTGTGATGATGGAAGTTTGAGCATTGTGTTGATGATGGAAGTTTGAGCATTGTGTTGATGATGGAGGTTTGAGCGTTGTCTTGATGATGGAGGTTTGAGCGTTGTGTTGATGATGGAGGTTTGAGCATTGTGTTGATGATGGAGGTTTGAGCATTGTGTTGATGATGGAGGTTTGAGCATTGTGTTGATGATGGAGGTTTGAGCGTTGTCTTGATGCAGGTACTCCATTCAAAAGCAGCAGGAGGGGAAGTTGAAGACAGCCATGAAGGAGTTGGTGCCGTCCCTGGTGTCACACGAGGACCCTCGCTGGCTCAAGGAAGATACTGTCATGGTGAGATTTGTGTCAGAATAATCATGGTGAAGCAATGCTTGTGTCAGAATAATCATGGTGAAGCAATGCTTGTGTCAGAATTATCATGGTGAAACAATGCTTGTGTCAGAATTATCATGGTGAAACAATGCTTGTGTCAGAATTATCATGGTGAAACAATGCTTGTGTCAGAATTATCATGGTGAAGCAATGCTTGTGTCAGAATTATCATGGTGAGATAATGCTTATGTCAGAAGGGGGTAAGAAATATCGGCTTGTACATTTTTTGAGACTTCACGTGGCTCTCCTTTATGTGAAGGTCAACCCATCTCGTCTGACCTCTAGAGGCGTGACAGTTTCCCGATGTGTTCAAAGATCAAAGACATTTGTGGCCATCTTCCCCAAGTCCTACACAGCCACCATCAGCTGTGGCTACAATGTGTCCGAGTCCGTCCATTATGCCACTCGCAATTGGATCAGCACCGGGGTTGCTGTAGCGGAGGTAAGACTCACTCACTCACTCACTCACTCACTCACTCAAAAAACTTTAAATAAACTCTATGTTTATGCCTCCATATCCATCGTTCAGCTTATGATGGTGATTTTGAAGGGTTCTGAAAACTAGAAACAAGGTGACCAATTACAATTAGAGGCAATGTTTAGGTGTAGGTTGTGACACCGTTATCAAGCAAGTGATAACTGGAATAAAGAAGTTGTTCATCCATATGTCTTATCCTTACTCAGTACTCCGTCTTCTAGCTGCCTCTCAAAGAAGATGAGCAATGCCTGTAAGATGTAATGAATCTATTCATCTACCAATAGACGTCCCCAAGTCTGCAGCAAAATTCCCAGTTCGAATGAGAAATTACCAACTTCCTTTGAACATGTTGAAATCTTTGAAAAGAAAAGAACTGTAAAGGCAGGCAAATTTTGAACAATATCATGATTTTTTCCCAATTTGCCTGCCAATTGCACTTAGTTTGGAATCGTAGATAAATCTCTGCAGATGATGAACTGATGATGTGATGGAGCGTTGTTTATAGCGTTGTTTATAGCGTTGTTTATGGAGCCACTGTCTTGTGTTTGCCAAGGATCTCAGTAGGAGTGTGGAGCCAGAGCTGTTTTCTATGGATGCCTTGCTGTGCCACCTCGTCTCTGACCCCACTTCCGATGTTCAGACACTCAAGATGGCGGTGCCTTTCTTTGACAAAGTCCTGTAAGTTGTCCAGGCCTGAAGATTCTTGTATATTCTCATGATTCTTGTTTGTCTTGACGATTCTTGTTGAAAGTGGTTTGGGAGGAAGAATGATTGTCTTATGTACGCCAAACTTCTGAATATCTGTTGAAAATAATTCAACCTTTGTTGAAATTCAAAGGTAAATGTTGCTGATAATTCAAAAAGCAGACATTTTCTTGTAAAACTGGTCTTAATTTGGTGTAAAAGCAGGAAGTTAATTGAATGTTTCATGACATGAGAGCTGTCTCTACAGGAAGTTAATTGAATGTTTCAGGACGGGAGAGGTGTCTCTACAGGATGTTAATTGAATGTTTCAGGACGCGAGAGCTGTCTCTACAGGAAGTTAATTGAATGTTTCATGACATGAGAGCTGTCTCTTCAGGATGTTAATTGAATGTTTCAGTACGCGAGAGCTGTCTCTACAGGAAGTTAATTGAATGTTTCAGGACACGAGAGTTGTCTCTACAGGATGTTAATTGAATGTTTCAGGACACGAGAGCTGTCTCTACAGGATGTTAATTGAATGTTTCAGGACACGAGAGTTGTCTCTACAGGAAGTTAATTGAATGTTTCAGGACGGGAGAGGTGTCTCTACAGGATGTTAATTGAATGTTTCAGGACGGGAGAGGTGTCTCTACAGGATGTTAATTGAATGTTTCATGACATGAGAGTTGTCTCTACAGGAAGTTAATTGAATGTTTCAGGACAGGAGAGGTGTCTCTACAGGATGTTAATTGAATGTTTCAGGACGCGAGAGCTGTCTCTACAGGAAGTTAATTGAATGTTTCAGGACGCGAGAGCTGTCTCTACAGGATGTTAATTGAATGTTTCAGGACACGAGAGTTGTCTCTACAGGATGTTAATTGAATGTTTCAGTACGCGAGAGCTGTCTCTACAGGAAGTTAATTGAATGTTTCAGGACACGAGAGTTGTCTCTACAGGATGTTAATTGAATGTTTCAGTACGCGAGAGCTGTCTCTACAGGAAGTTAATTGAATGTTTCAGGACACGAGAGCTGTCTCTACAGGATGTTAATTGAATGTTTCAGTACGCGAGAGCTGTCTCTACAGGAAGTTAATTGAATGTTTCAGGACACGAGAGTTGTCTCTGAGGAAGCAGTTGCATGAAGCAGGGCTGAAGGTGGTGAAGCGAGGGGGGATGTTGGATGACATGCCGGCAGCGCCGCTGTCCCGCAAGCGCTCGCTGGACCACGTGGAGGACAATGTCTGTGACATCTCCAAGAAACACTGCTACTTTTCCAAGGTGAGTCACCAAGCTGGAACTCATGCTCTTGTTTTTTTTACATAATGGGAGAGTGGGAAGTTTGATTCAGCTGTTGTTTTCGTCTTGACATTTTCACATTTTGATTCAGGTCGTGAATGAGTGTGAGAACCTGACTCTCTCCCTGGAGGAGGGACTGAAGCATATTCAGAAGAAAAAACATCTGAAGCACTGCAAGCTGGTGTACAGATACCCTGAGGTGAGATGTACGGAAACCCTGAGGGGAGGTGTACAGATAACCTGAATGAATGAATCCTCCTTCCTTCTGCACTGAATGAATCCTTCCTTCTCCACTGACCCATACTTTCTTCACCACTAACTCCTTCTTACTTCTCCACTACTTCCTTCTTACTTCTCCACTAATTCCTGCTTCCTTCTCCACTGACTGACTCCTTCTTTTTCCACAGACTGACTCCTTCTTTCTCCATGGACCGACTCCTTTCTTCTCCAAGGACTGACTCCTTTGTTCTCCACTGAGTCCTTCCTTCTCCACTGACTGACTCCTTCTTCCTTCTCCACTGACTGACTCCTTCTTCCTTCTCCACTGACTGACTCCTTCCTTCTCCACTGACTGACTCCATCTTCCTCCTCCACTGATTGACTCCTTCTTCTTTCTCCACTGACTCCTTCCTTCTCCACTGACTGACTCCTTCCTTCTCCACTGACTAACTCCTTTTTTTTCCACTGACTTACTCCTTCTTTCTCCATGGACCGACTCTTTCTTCCTTCTCAACTGACTCCTTCTTTCTCCATGGACTGACTCCTTCTTCCTTCTTCACTGACTGACTCCTTCTTTCTCCACTGACTGACTCCTTCTTCCTTCTCCACTGACTGACTCCTTCTTCCTTCTTCACTGACTGACTCCTTCTTTCTCCATGGACTGACTCCTTCTTTCTCCATGGACTGACTCCTTCTTCCTTCTCCACTGTCTGACTCCTTCTTCCTTCTTCACTGACTGACTCCTTCTTTATCCATGGACCGACTCCTTCTTCCTTCTCCACTGACTGACTCCTTCTTTCTCCATGGACTGACTCCTTCTTCCTTCTCCACTGACTGACTCCTTCTTCTTTCTTCACTGACTGACTCCTTCTTTCTCCATGGACTGACTCCTTCTTCCTTCTCCACTGTCTGACTCCTTCTTCCTTCTTCACTGACTGACTCCTTCTTTCTCCATGGACTGACTCCTTCTTCCTTCTCCACTGACTGACTCCTTCTTCCTTCTTCACTGACTGACTCCTTCTTTCTCCACTGACTGACTCCTTCTTCCTTCTAGACTGACTGACTCCCCCCTTCTCCACTGACTGACTCCTTCTTTCTCCATGGACCGACTCCTTCTTCCTTCTCCACTGACTGACTCCTTCTTCCTTCTTCACTGACTGACTCCTTCTTTCTCCATGGACTGACTCCTTCTTCCTTCTCCACTGTCTGACTCCTTCTTCCTTCTTCACTGACTGACTCCTTCTTTCTCCATGGACTGACTCCTTCTTCCTTCTCCACTGACTGACTCCTTCTTCCTTCTTCACTGACTGACTCCTTCTTTCTCCACTGACTGACTCCTTCTTCCTTCTCGACTGACTGACTCCCCCCTTCTCCACTGACTGACTCCTTCCTTCTCCACTGATTGACTCCTTCTTCCTTCTCCACTGACTGACTCCTTCCTTCTCCACTGACTGACTCCTTTCTCCATGGACTGACTCCTTCCTTCTCCACTGACTGACTCCATCTTCCTATCCACTGACTGACTCCTTCTTTCTCCATGGACCGACTCCTTCCTTCTCCACTGACTGACTCCTTCCTTCTCCACTGACTGATTCCATCTTCCTTCTCCACTGACTGACTCCTTCCTTCTCCACTGACTGACTCCTTCTTTCTCCACAGACTGACTCCTTCTTCCTCCTCCACTGATTGACTCCTTCTTCTTTCTCCACTGACTCCTTCCTTCTCCACTGACTAACTCCTTCTTTTTCCACTGACTTACTCCTTCTTCTTTCTCCATGGACAGACTCCTTCTTCCTTCTCCACTGACTGACTCCTTCTTCCTTCTTCACTGACTGACTCCTTCTTTCTCAAAGGACTGACTCCTTCCTTCTCCACTGACTGACTCCTTCTTTCTCCATTGACTCCTTCCTTCTCGACTGACTGACTCCTTCTTCCTTCTTCACTGACTGACTCCTTCTTTCTCCATGGACCAACTCCTTCTTTCTCCATGGACCGACTCCTTCTTCCTCCTCCACTGACTGACTCCTTCTTCCTCCTCCACTGACTGACTCCTTTGTTCTCCACTAACTGACTCCTTTGTTCTCCACTGACTCCTTCCTTCTCCACTGACTGACTCCTTCGTTCTCCATTGACTCCTTCCTTCTCCACTGACTGACTCCTTCTTCCTTCTTCACTGACTGACTCCTTCTTCCTTCTTCACTGACTGACTCCTTCTTCCTTCTCCACTGACTGACTCATTCTTTCTCCATGGACTGACTCATTCTTCCTTCTTCACTGACTGACTCCTTCTTCCTTCTCCACTGACTGACTCCACTTTACTTCTCCACACACTGACTTCTTCTTTCTTCAGTGACTGACTCCTTCTTACTTCTCCACTGACTGACTCATTCTTTTTCCACTGACTGACTCCTTCTTTCTTCAGTGACTGAATCCTTCCTTCTCCACTGACTGACTCCTTCCTTCTCCACTTACTGACTCCTTCTTCCTTCTCCACTGACTGACTCCTTCTTCCTTCTCCACTGACTGACTCCTTCTTCCTTCTCCACTGACTGACTCCACTTTACTTCTCGACAGACTGACTTCTTCTTCTTTCTTCAGTGACTGACTCCTTACTTCTCCACTGACTGACTCCTCTTTACTTCTCCACAGACTGACTCCTTCTTACTTCTCCACTGACTGACTCATTCTTTTTCCACTGACTGACTCCTTCCATCTTCACTGACTGACTCCTTCTTCCTTCTCCACTGACTGACTCCTCTTTACTTCTCCACAGACTGACTCCTTCTTACTTCTCCACTGACTGACTCATTCTTTTTCCACTGACTGACTCCTTCCTTCTCCACTTACTGACTCCTTCCTTCTCCACTGACTGACTCCTTCTTGCTTCTTCCAGGAAGAACTGCGGAGCATGCTGCAGAGTGCCCAGTGCCGGCTGGACATCAGCGGCAACAGTGACGGTGCCAGCAGCAGCAGCAGCAGCAGCAGCAAGAAGAGGAGCATGAAGAGGTAGAAGACCGTTGGGCAGTACAGACTTGGCATGCACTATAACTGACTGGCAGGCCCACAGAGTGTAGGTCAAGGCGGTCTACAGGGTGTAGGTCAAGGCGGTCTACAGGGTGTAGGTCAAGGCTGTCGACAGGGTGTAGGTCAAGGCTGTCAACAGGGTGTAGGTCAAGGCTGTCGACAGGGTGTAGGTCAAGGCTGTCGACAGGGTGTAGGTCAAGGCTGTCGACAGGGTGTAGGTCAAGGCTGTCTACAGGGTGTAACATCATGAAAGACATTTGATGTTTTGTGATACAAGACAAGGAGCTGTGTAGTGACTGGGGACATTGACTTGGCAGCACCTGGAAATGTGTGCCGTATGCAAGCATGTGAAAGCAATGGACTGTGTCGGCAGTTGGAAGCTTTGTACTGTGTCAGAATATGGAGGCTGTGTACTGTGTCAGAATATGGAGGCTGTGTACTGTGTGCCATGAAATACTGTCAGTCACTCAGTCACACACTCCTCCATGCATGTTTCCCCAGCAGGGACTGTAGTGTTGTACAGCTCGCACGTGTGTATTGCTGAGTGTTAAGTACCTGTTGTTTGGGTGTATCCAAGATGGAGAGGCAACTGTGGAAGAAGGGATGCTTCACAGCTGTTGGTGTGTTTTTGTATGTGAGTGAGGTGTTGGCAGGGTGTAGGTCAAGGTTGTCGACTGGATCAAGACAGGCATGTATGCAAAACACTGTTGTCAACACCAAGGGTGACAGATTTTCTTCTTTTCATCCAAACTAATGAATGAATTGTTGCCACCAGGAGTGAAAGATGTGTTTTTGTGTGTAATTTTGATTTTGTAATCTCTTTCAATATTTTTATTTTGTCTACTGAACACATTACTTTTTTAAACTTGATTTCTTCCTGAAATGAAGGAGTGGTTGGGTAGCCTAGTGGTTAAAGCGTTCGCTCATCACGCCAAAGACCCGGGGTTCAATTCCCAACATGGGTACAATGTGTGAAGCGCATTTCTGGTGTCCCCCGCCGTGATATTGCTGGAATATTGCTAAAACCGGCGTAAAACCATACTCACTCACTCACTCACTTCCTGAAATGGTACATAATTCATCACTGATAGTGACTTCTTTAAGTAATGTATGGGTTATCCGGTAGAATGTTGACCCGACAACAGGACAGTCAACCAACGTGTGGACAAAAGTTGAACAATAAGTTACAGTGACTGCACAGTGACAATGACAGAACAGTGAAATGACATCACAGTGACAATGACAGAACAATGACATCACAGTGACAATGACAGAACAGTGGACCCATGTATGTACTGTGTTGACACCCTATGGTCACTGTGATGTCATATTAGGGGAATGTTGAAGACTGTGTAACATGCTGGCGTTAACGGCACATCATTTTTAGGGCAAACTTCAGTTTCATTTGGAGCATTTGACAGATCTTACAGTGTTTACATGTTTCATTGGTTTCATGAACTTCACAGGGCAGAAGTTGTGTTTATTGTACATACATTTTACAATTTCCATTTTATGTTCCAACATAAATGTGTTCAACAGGGATTATGTAAAGGATGTCTACAGATGTAGGTCAAGGCTATCAACAGGATGTAGGTCAAGGCTGTCATCAGGGTGTAGGTCAAGGCTATTGACAGGGTGTAGGTCAAGGGTGTTGACAGAGTGTAGGTCAAGGCTATCGACAGGGTGCATATCAAGGGTGTTGACAGGGTGTAGGTCAAGGCCGTCAGTGGGGTGTAGGTTTAGGCTGTCAGTGGGGTGTAGGTCAAGGCTGTCAACGGGGTGTAGGTCAAGGCTGTCAACAGGGTGAAGGTCAAGGATGTTGACAGGGTGTAGGTCAAGGCTGTCAATAGGGTGTAGGTCAAGGCTGTCAACGGGGTGTAGGTCAAGGATGTTGACAGGGTGTAGGTCAAGGCTGTCGACAGGGTGTAGGTCAAGGCTGTTGACAGGGTGTAGGTCAAGGCTGTCTACAGTGTGTAGGTCAAGGCTGTCGACAGGGTGTAGGTCAAGACTGTTGACAGGGTGTAGGTCAAGGCTGTTGACAGGGTGTAGGTCAAGGCTGTGTGGAAGGAGGGTGCCTCACAGCTGTTGTGTTATATGCAGATTCAAGGCTCCCGACACTGATTGGAGACATGTTATGAAGTACCACAAAGTATTATAGACAGGCAAGTATGCACAACACCGTTGTCAACACCAAGGGTGACAGATTTTGTTGTTTACATCCAAACTAATGAATGAATTGTAACCACCAGGAGTGAAAGATGTGTTTATGTGTGTGAGGTTGACATTGTAATCTCTTTCATTATTTTCATTTTATCTACTGAACACATTACTTTTTTAACTTGATTTCTTCCTGAAATGGTCATTTTTGAACACATAATTCATCACTGATAATGACTTCTTTAAGTAATGTATGCGTTATCCGGTAGAATGTTGACCCGACAACAGGACAGTCAACCAACGTGTGGACAAAAGTTGAACAATAAGTTACAGTGACTGCACAGTGACAATGACAGAACAGTGAAATGACATCACAGTGACAATGACAGAACAATGACATCACAGTGACAATGACAGAACAGTGGACCCATGTATGTACTGTGTTGACACCCTATGGTCACTGTGATGTCATATTAGGGGAATGTTGAAGACTGTGTAACATGCTGGCGTTAACGGCACATCATTTTTAGGGCAAACTTCAGTTTCATTTGGAGCATTTGACAGATCTTACAGTGTTTACATGTTTCATTGGTTTCATGAACTTCACAGGGCAGAAGTTGTGTTTATTGTACATACATTTTACAATTTCCATTTTATGTTCCAACATAAATGTGTTCAACAGGGATTATGTAAAGGATGTCTACAGATGTAGGTCAAGGCTATCAACAGGATGTAGGTCAAGGCTGTCATCAGGGTGTAGGTCAAGGCTATTGACAGGGTGTAGGTCAAGGGTGTTGACAGAGTGTAGGTCAAGGCTATCGACAGGGTGCATATCAAGGGTGTTGACAGGGTGTAGGTCAAGGCCGTCAGTGGGGTGTAGGTTTAGGCTGTCAGTGGGGTGTAGGTCAAGGCTGTCAACGGGGTGTAGGTCAAGGCTGTCAACAGGGTGAAGGTCAAGGATGTTGACAGGGTGTAGGTCAAGGCTGTCAATAGGGTGTAGGTCAAGGCTGTCAACGGGGTGTAGGTCAAGGATGTTGACAGGGTGTAGGTCAAGGCTGTCGACAGGGTGTAGGTCAAGGCTGTTGACAGGGTGTAGGTCAAGGCTGTCTACAGTGTGTAGGTCAAGGCTGTCGACAGGGTGTAGGTCAAGACTGTTGACAGGGTGTAGGTCAAGGCTGTTGACAGGGTGTAGGTCAAGGCTGTGTGGAAGGAGGGTGCCTCACAGCTGTTGTGTTATATGCAGATTCAAGGCTCCCGACACTGATTGGAGACATGTTATGAAGTACCACAAAGTATTATAGACAGGCAAGTATGCACAACACCGTTGTCAACACCAAGGGTGACAGATTTTGTTGTTTACATCCAAACTAATGAATGAATTGTAACCACCAGGAGTGAAAGATGTGTTTATGTGTGTGAGGTTGACATTGTAATCTCTTTCATTATTTTCATTTTATCTACTGAACACATTACTTTTTTAACTTGATTTCTTCCTGAAATGGACATTTTTGAACACATAATTCATCACTGATATTGACTTCTATTAGTAATGTATGGGTTATCCGGTAGAATGTTGACCCGACAACAGGACAGTCAACCAACGTGTGGACAAAAGTTGAACAATAAGTTACAGTGACTGCACAGTGACAATGACAGAACAGTGAAATGACATCACAGTGACAATGACATCACAGTGACAATGACAGAACAGTGGACCCATGTATGTACTGTGTTGACGCCCTATGGTCACTGTGATGTCATATTAGGGGAATGTTGAAGACTGTGTAACATGCTGGCGTTAACGGCACATCATTTTTAGGGCAAACTTCAGTTTCATTTGGAGCATTTGAAAGATCTTACAGTGTTTACATGTTTCATTGGTTTTATGAACTTCACAGGGCAGAAGTTGTGTTTATTGTACATACATTTTGAAATGAAAATAAATTTCAATTTTTTATTCCAACAAAAATAAATGTAACAAATGATACCTTGTGTTTTGTGTTCAACATTATAAAACAGGACTTACATCCAAAAAGGTACATGGCCTACTTGCAATGATGTACAAGGTGAACTTGAGATGGTACTTGTTGTTACCCTATCTGGCGATCTGCATTAAGGGGCTAAAACAAGGACTGGTTTGCTCGGAGTCTGAGTAGGGGTATTCACGTTTAACTGCGGCATGTTTTATCAGTGTGCTAGCACTAAAAATCAGCATCAGAAATCACACACACACACACACACACACACACACACACACACACACACGTGCATGCACGCCGCTATATGAATGCAATAATCTTGGATGCAAGGTTAAACCCCATTTCACCTCACCTCCAGCAATGTAAGAGGTCAACTTCCATCAATGCACGAGGTCAACCTCCATCAATGTATGAGGTCAACTTTCATCCATGCACGACAACAACTTCCATCAATATACAGGTCAACTTCCATCAATGCAAGAGGTCAACTTCCATCAATGCACGAGGTCAACTTCCATCAATGCATGAGGTCAACTTCCATCAATGCACGAGGTTATCTTCCATCATTTCACGAGGTCAACTTCCATCAATGTACAAGGTCAACTTCTATTAATGTACGAGGTCAACTTCCATCAATCTAAAAGGTCAACTTCAATCAATGTACAAGGTCAATAATCCATCAATGTACAAGGTCAACTTCCATCAATGTACAAGGTCAACTTCCATTAATGTATAAGGTCAACTTCCATTAATGTACAAGGTCAACTTCAATCAATGTACAAGGTCAACATCCATCAATGTACAAGGTCAACTTCCATCAATGTACAAGGTCCACATCCATCAATGTACAAGGTCAACTTCAATCAATGTACAAGGTCAACATCCATTAATGTACAAGGTCAACTTCCATTAATGTACAAGGTCAACTTCCATTAATGTACAAGGTCAACTTCAATCAATGTACAAGGTCAACATCCATCAATGTACAAGGTCAACTTCCATCAATGTACAAGGTCAACTTCCATTAATGTACAAGGTCAACTTCCATTAATGTACAAGGTCAACTTCAATCAATGTACAAGGTCAACTTCCATCAATATACAAGGTCATCTTCTATCAATGTACAAGGTCAACATCCATTAATGTACAAGGTCAACTACCATCAATGTACAAGGTCAACTTCAATTAATGTACAAGGTCAACTTCAATCAATGTACAAGGTCAACATCCATCAATGTACAAGGTCAACTTCCATTAATGTACAAGGTCAACTTCCATTAATGTACAAGGTCAACTTCAATCAATGTACAAGGTCAACTTCAATCAATGTACAAGGTCAACTTCCATTAATGTACAAGGTCAACATCCATTAATGTACAAGGTCAACTTCCATCAATATACAAGGTCATCTTCTATCAATGTACAAGGTCAACATCCATTAATGTACAAGGTCAACTTTCATCACCATACAAGGTCAGCTTCAATCAATGTACAAAGTCAACTTAATCAATGTACAAGGTCAACTTCCATCAATGTACGAGGTCAACTTCCATCAATGTACAAGGTCAACTACCATCAATGTACAAGGTCAACTTCAATTAAAGTACAAGGGCAACTTCCATCAATGTACAAGGTCAACATCCATTAATGTACAAGGTCAACTTCCATCAATATACAAGGTCAACTTCCATCACCATACAAGGTCAACATCCATTAATGTACAAGGTCAACTTCCATCAATATACAAGGTCAACCTCCATCAATGTACAAGGTCAACTTCCATCAATGTATGAGGTCAACTTCCATCAATGTACAAGATCACTTTCCATCAATGTACAAGGTCAACTTCAATTAAAGTACAAGGTCAACTTCCATCAATGTACAAGGTCAACTTCAATCAATGTACAAGGTCAACTTCCATCAATGTACAAGGTCAACTTCCATTAATGTACAAGGTCAACTTCCATCAATTTACAAAGTCAACTTCCATTAATGTACAAGGTCGTATTTCCACCTTGGTGTCCATGGCCTCATGTCAGGTTCCCGGTTGGGGACATGGCTGGAGTACATGACCTCGTCATGGCGCCGCTCACCTCACGGATCCACTTATTGGCCACTGGAAAGAATCATCACTGTGTCATGTTACATCACCAACTACTTCCCCTCCATGCTTGTTGAACATCTGTTAATATGGGAAAGTGTTATTCATCGTCCAGGTCATATATTTGATCAATATAGTCACCATATGAAAGAACATTAAAGAATTCGTATTTACTTCCTTCTTGGTCTACATGTGGTATCAATACCTATCAATAGCCACCCAACAAAGCGTCCAGGGCCAAAAACGACCTACCCACTTCCCCCTCCCCTCAAGCACTTACCCCACTTGTGACCATACAGCACCGGGCACCCCCCGTGTCTGGTCCTGGGGTCGGGAGAACCGTCGGGAAGGAAGTTGTACCAGAACAGGGCGGCGTTCTGAAGACAGACAATGGACATGCCATGACACAGGTGAACAGTACAGAGCTGATGCATCTAATAGACCATGTAGTTTGTTCACTGTACGATTGAATTTAAAGTTGAATGTAAAACAGACATGTCCTTATGAGATAATGATGTGTATGGGCTATACCTTGTGAGATAATGTGTATGTGTTATACCTTGTGAGATAATGATGTGTATGGGCTTTACCTTCTGAGATAATGTGTATGGGCTATACCTTGTGAGATAATGATGTGTATGGGCTATACCTTGTGAGATAATGATGTGTATTGGCTTTACCTTGTGAGATAATGATGTGTATGGGCTTTACCTTGTGAGATGATGATGTGTATGGGCTATACCTTGTGAGATAATGATGTGTATGGACTATACCTTGTGAGATAATGATGTGTATGGGCTTTACCTTGTGAGATAATAATGTGTATGGGCTTTACCTTGTGAGATAATGATGTGTATGGGCTATACCTTGTGAGATAATGTGTATGGGCTATACCTTGTGAGATAATGATGTGTATGGGCTTTACCTTGTGAGATAATAATGTGTATGGGCTTTACCTTGTGAGATAATGATGTGTATGGGCTATACCTTCTGAGATAATGTGTATGGGCTATACCTTGTGAGATAATGATGTGTATGGGCTATACCTTGTGAGATAATGATGTGTATTGGCTTTACCTTGTGAGATAATGATGTGTATGGGCTTTACCTTGTGAGATGATGATGTGTATGGGCTATACCTTGTGAGATAATGATGTGTATGGACTATTCCTTGTGAGATAATGATGTGTATGGGCTATACCTTGTGAGATAATGATGTGTATGGGCTATACCTTGTGAGATAATGATGTGTATGGGCTATACCTTGTGAGATAATGATGTGTATGGGCTTTACCTTGTGAGATAATAATGTGTATGGGCTTTACCTTGTGAGATAATGATGTGTATGGGCTATACCTTGTGAGATAATGTGTATGGGCTATACCTTGTGAGATAATGATGTGTATTGGCTTTACCTTGTGAGATGATGATGTGTATGGGCTATACCTTGTGAGATAGTGATGTGTATGGACTATACCTTGTGAGATAATGATGTGTATGGGCTATACCTTGTGAGATAATCATGTGTATTGGCTATACCTTGTGAGATAATGATGTGTATGGGCCATACCTTGTGAGATAATGATGTGTATGGGCAATACCTTGTGAGATAATGATGTGTATGGGCTATACCTTGTGAGATAATGATGTGTATGGGCTATACCTTGTGAGATAATGATGTGTATGGGCTATACCTTGTGAGATAATGATGTGTATGGGCTATACCTTGTGAGATAATGATGTGTATTGGCTATACCTTGTGAGATAATGATGTGTATGGCTTATACCTTGTGAGATAATGATGTGTATGGGCTATACCTTGTGAGATAATAATGTGTATGGGCTTTACCTTGTGAGATAATGATATGTATGGGCTATACCTTCTGAGATAATGTGTATGGGCTATACCTTGTGAGATAATGATGTGTATGGGCTATACCTTGTGAGATAATGATGTGTATTGGCTTTACCTTGTGAGATAATGATGTGTATGGGCTTTACCTTGTGAGATGATGATGTGTATGGGCTATACCTTGTGAGATAATGATGTGTATGGACTATACCTTGTGAGATAATGATGTGTATGGGCTATACCTTGTGAGATAATGATGTGTATTGGCTATACCTTGTGAGATAATGATGTGTATGGGTTATACCATGTGAGATAATGATGTGTATGGGCTATACGTTGTGAGATAATGATGTGTATTGGCTATACCTCGTGAGATAATGATGTGTATGGGCCATACCTTGTGAGATAGTGATGTGTATTGGCTATACCTTGTGAGATAATGATGTGTATGGGCTATACCTTGTGAGATAATGATGTGTATGGGCTATACCTTGTGAGATAATGATGTGAATGGGTTATACCTTGTGAGATAATGATGTGTATGGGCTATACCTTGTCAGATAATGATGTGTATGGGCTTGACCTTGTGAGATAATGATGTGTATGTGTTATACCTTGTGAGATAATGATGTGTATTGGCTATACCTTGTGAGATAATGATGTGTATGGGCTATACCTTGTGAGATAATGATGTGTATGGGCTTTACCTTGTGAGATGATGATGTGTATGGGCTTTACCTTGTGAGATAATGATGTGTATGGGCTATACCTTGTGAGATAATGATGTGTATTGGCTATACCTTGTGAGATAATGATGTGTATGGGTTATACCATGTGAGATAATGATGTGTATGGGCTTTATCTTGTGAGATAATGATGTGTATTGGCTATACCTTGTGAGATAATGATGTGTATGGGCTATACCTTGTGAGATAATGATGTGTATTGGCTATACCTTGTGAGAAAGTGATGTGTATGGGCTATACCTTGTGAGATAATGATGTGTATGGGCTTTACCTTGTGAGATAATGTGTATTGGCTATACCTTGTGAGATAGTGATGTGTATTGGCTATACCTTGTGAGATAATGATGTGTATGGGCTATACCTTGTGAGATAATGATGTGTATGGGCTATACCTTGTGAGATAATGTGTATTGGCTATACCTTGTGAGATAGTGATGTGTATTGGCTATACCTTGTGAGATAATGATGTGTATGGGCTATACCTTGTGAGATAATGATGTGTATTGGCTATACCTCGTGAGATAATGATGTGTATGGGCCATACCTTGTGAGATAATGATGTGTATGGGCTATACCTTGTGAGATAATGATGTGTATGGGCTATACCTTGTGAGATAATGATGTGTATGGGCTATACCTTGTGAGATAATGATGTGAATGGGTTATACCTTGTGAGATAATGATGTGTATGGGCTATACCTTGTCAGATAATGATGTGTATTGGCTTTACCTTGTGAGATAATAATGTGTATGGGCTATACCTTGTGAGATAATGATGTGTATTGGCTATACCTTGTGAGATAATGATGTGTATGGGTTATACCATGTGAGATAATGATGTGTATGGGCTTTATCTTGTGAGATGATGATGTGTATTGGCTATACCTTGTGAGATAATGATGTGTATGGGCTATACCTTGTGAGATAATGATGTGTATTGGCTATACCTTGTGAGATAGTGATTTGTATGTGTTATACCTTGTGAGGTAATGATGTGTATTGGCTATACCTTGTGATATAATGATGTGTATGTGTTCTACCTTGTGAGATTATGATGTGTATTGGCTATACCTTGTGAGATAATGATGTGTATGGGCTATACCTTGTGAGATAATGATGTGTGTGGGCTTTACCTTGTGAGATGATGATGTGTATGGGCTTTACCTTGTGAGATAATGATGTGTATGGGCTATACCTTGTGAGATAATGATGTGTATTGGCTATACCTTGTGAGATAATGATGTGTATGGGTTATACCATGTGAGATAATGATGTGTATTGGCTTTATCTTGTGAGATAATGATGTGTATTGGCTATACCTTGTGAGATAATGATGTGTATGGGCTATACCTTGTGAGATAATGATGTGTATTGGCTATACCTTGTGAGATAGTGATGTGTATGGGCTATACCTTGTGAGATAATGATGTGTATGGGCTTCATCTTTTGAGATAATGTGTATTGGCTATACCTTGTGAGATAGTGATGTGTATTGGCTATACCTTGTGAGATAATGATGTGTATGGGCTATACCTTGTGAGATAATGATGTGTATGGGCTATACCTTGTGAGATAATGATGTGTATTGGCTATACCTTGTGAGATAATGATGTGTATGGGCTATACCTTGTGAGATAATGATGTGTATGGGCTATACCCTGTGAGATAATGATATGGATGGGCTTTACCTTGACGGGCGGAGCTCCGATGCCGAGTTCTGGGAACACTGTGGCCCCGCCTTCTTCCACGTCGCTCAGCTGCAAGGAGGTGGCAAACATGTCAAAGTCCTTTGTCCAATTTTAAATAAGCGGTGTATTATATGAAACTAAACTTTGCAATGTTTGAGTCTTTTTAGAAATGCGGTGTGGATAGTTGCTCATGCTATCGTCCACTGGTATACCTTGATCTGGGATACATCTTGAATGTCTCTGGAAGGCGGAAAACAACATTCATTCACTGTGAAGTCAGTGCCGTCGGATATTGAACGTTTGTACATATACTCAACAACAAAAGTTCCTGTGACACCAATATTTTAGTGTATTTTTCAAACAAGTAAAGTTGGTTTTCAATATTGTAGAACATGTATGGGATCAAGTCGCAAAAACGCAACTGCTACAGAAAAGCATGCATTCCATGCAAAAGTTTATGCAAGCCCCATGCATTTCACTACCCAAGAATGGGTATAAAAACACGTGCGTTAACAGGATTCAATATGCATTGTTTAGAATCGTGCCACGCGAAACCAATAATCGACAAGACAACTGGATTCGAACAACACACCTACGAAATGGATTCCAGCCAGCAACAGTGACAGCAAGAAGCATCCCTGGTCTTCGACGAATATCTTCACAAACCGTATGTCGTCGCCTCAGATGTGCAGGTATTGTCGCCAGAAGACCCGCCAGACCTCCCATTTTGACAGGAAACCACCGTCAAGCACGTCTACAGTGGTGCAGACAGCGTCTACACTGGACGGCCATGCAGTGGGGGACAAGTTCTATTCACTGACGAGTCTCGTTTTCACCTCAGCCACAGGATGGACGGATTCGAGTGTACCGACGTCGAGGTGAACGTTACCTCAATCATTGTGACATGGAAGAAGATCGGTTAGGGGGCGGCAGCGTTATGGTATGGGGTGGGATTACAGCAAGACAGAGGACCCGTTTGAATGTGGTAGAGGGAAATCTCAATGGACAGCGCTACTGCGACGAGATCATCGGCCCTCTTGTTCTACCGTTTTTGCCTCGTCATGGCCCAGGCATTACTTTTCAACATGACAACGCCCGGCCTCATATTGCTCGACTTGTTCACGATTTTCTTCAACAAAACAACGTAAATGTCATCCCCTGGCCGGCTCGCTCCCCTGATCTCTCACCAATCGAGCACATGTGGGATGAGATGGATCGGCGCCTTCGACGTCAACCACGTGTTCCACAGACACTCCAGGATCTTCGAAACATGCTCCAGCAGATATGGACAGATATCCCACAGGACTTTGTGCGACGCCTGGTCCATTCACTGAGACGAAGATGTGTTACTTTCATCTCAACCAGAGGTGGACACACACGCTATTGATTTGTAAATCGACATTTTGGCATGTTCATGATTTTTTATGAAATCACGCATTTTCTGAAGTCAGTATGGCAAATTAAACCATTTGAACACTTACAGGAGTCTTTTATCTGTTTCAGATTTGGTAAAAAACATAACTTTGCATTAAATCTTATTCAATGTCACAGGAACTTTTGTTGTTCAGTATATAATGTTCTATCTCCTTTTACGTACGCTTCTCCCCTCACCCTCACCCTTATTCCTGTTTGTCTTACCAGTAGTATCTCGTTCATACACCTGGGGTGTGACGCGGGCACCAACTTCACTGCCTTAATTATATCGTCGGCAAGGACTTGTTTGTTTGTTAACGCCGCACTCAGCAATGTTGCAGCTACATGACGACGGTCTGTAATCGAGTCTGGAGGAGAGAGTCCAGTGATTTGAGGCCTGAACAGACTTGACACCGACTCTCGCCCTGGGGCACAGATCCGTGCTATTGTTTGACCACATGACTTCCAGTCACCTTTCCCTCTGGTCTGTAAATAATCGAGTCTGGACCAGACAATCCAGTGATTGAGCATCGATCCACGCAATTGGGATACGATGACGCGCATCGACCAAGTCAGCGAGCCTGACCACCCGATACCGTTAGTCGCCTCTTACGACAAACGTGGTCGCTTTTTACGGCAAGCATGGGTTGTGGAAGACCTTGTCTACCCCGGATCTTCACGGTTCCCTCGGCAGTATGTGCTTACATAAGACGCCAGGAATGAGGCTTCCATCACAGGTACATACTGGTACACACTGGTGCATACTGGTTCACAATGGTACACACAGGTACGTACTGCTACACATTGGTACACATAGGTACATACTACTACACACTGGTACACACACTCACATAGAACATGAAAGTCGCCATTCTGTCCCCGCTGTTGGACGAGAATCCCCACGACGTCTTCACATTGTCTTGATTCTGAAACACATCAAACCAAGAATCGAACCTTCTTCGCCCTGTGGGAACAGGCGGTCTGTGGTTTGTTTTCACCTTGCATCTTCCCTCCCCCATTTACCTACCATGCTCGAATATAATTATAATATTTAGCGTTAAACCCACTCCCTACCCCCAGTGAGGACGCTTTTATATTATTACAAAAGAACGTTAGTTATATACAGGAAATCTTCACATTTTCAGATGAAGAACATGTGCTTTGCTTGTTGACCACGATTGATGGAGGGGTCAGGCTCGGGGACTCATTGCGTGTCGTCGTCGTCGTCGTCGTCGTCGTCGTTCAGGTTTTGTGTCGCTGGTTTGCTCTTCCAGATTATTTTGGACTGTTGTTAAATAGCTGGAACATTGCAGGGGTGTGGCGTTAAACAACATTCACTCACTCGCTTCATTTCACGTCTGTCTGTTTGTTTGTTTAACGCCGCACTCAGCAATATTCCAGCTATATGACGGCGGTCTGTAAATAATCGAGCCTGGCCCAGACAGTCCAGCGATTTGAGGCCTGAACAGACTTGACACTGACTCCTTCCCTGGGACACAGACACAAGACTTCCAGTCACCTTTCCCTGCTCTACAATTCCCCCCGCCACACACACACACTTCCACCCCCATCCCTATCCCCATCATCACCTCCACCATTGTACTCACCCCCCCCCCCCCCCCCCCCCCTCCCCCCTCCCGCGCGCGCCCTACACCCACACACCTACCCACCTCCACCACGACAGCCTCATCCCCCAAGCCCGTCTACGTTCATCACAGCCCCAGCACAAACCTATCCCTACCCCCATCCCACTCCAGATCCCCACCCCAATCAGGATGTGACCCCCGCTGCACACACTCACCACGTAGTAGTCATAATGAGGGGAATAGTGTCCTCCTATGCCGTAATTCACCACCTGGGGAGAACAAGCACGCCGCGTTAACATTGAGGAAAACAAGCACGCGGCGTTAACATTGAGGAGAACAAGCACGCCGCATTAACATTGAGGAGAACAAGCACGCCGCGTTAACATTCAGGAGAACAAGCACGCTGCGTTAACATTCAGGAGAGCAAGCACGCCGCATTAACATTGAGCAGAACACGCATCCGGCGTTAACATTGAGGAGAACAAGCACGCCGCGTTGACATTCAGGAGAAGAAGCACGCTGCGTTAAAATTCAGGAGAAGAATCACGCCGTGTTAACATTCAGGAGAAGAAGCACGCTGCGTTAACATTGAGGAGAACAAGCACTCCGTGTTAACATTGAGGAGAAGCACGCCTCGTTAACATTGAGGAGAAGTATCACGCCGCGTTAACATTGAGGAGAACAAACTCGCCACGTTAACATTCAGGAGAACAAATTCGCCACGTTAACATTGAGGAAAACAAACTCGCCGCGTTAACATTGAGGAGAAGCAGCTGTGTTAACATTGAGGAGAACAAGCACTCCGCGTTAACATTCAGCAGAAGAAGCACGCCGCGTTAACACTGAGGAGAAGAAGCACGCCGCGTTAACATTGAGGACAAGAAGCATGCCGCGTTAACACTGAGGAGAAGAAGCACTCCGCGTTAACATTCAGGAGAAGGAGCACTCTGCGTTAACATTCAGGAGAAGAAGCACGCCGCGTCAACATTGAGGAGAACAAACTCACCACGTTAATATTGAGGAGAAGCACTCCGCGTTGACATTGTGAACAAGCACCCCGCGTTAACACTGAGGAGAACAAGCACGCTGCGTTAACACTGAGGAGACGAAGCACACTACGTTAACATTGAGGAGAAGAAGCACGCTACATTAACATTGAGGAGAAGAAGCACGCTGCGTTAACACTGAGGAGAAGAAGCACGCTACGTTAACATTGAGGAGAACAAGCACGCCGCGTTAACACTGAGGAGAAGAAGCACGCTACGTTAACATTGAGGAGAAGAAGCACGCTACATTAACATTGAGGAGAAGAAGCACGCTGCGTTAACACTGAGGAGAAGAAGCACGCTACGTTAACATTGAGGAGAACAAGCACGCTGCGTTAACACTGAGGAGAACAAGCACGCTGCATTAACACTGAGGATAACAAGCACGCTGCGTTAACATTGAGGAGAAGAAGCACGCCACGTTAACACTGAGGAGAACAAGCACCCCGGTTAACACTGAGGAGAAGAAGCACGCTACGTTAACATTGAGGAGAAGAAGCACGCTACGTTAACATTGAGGAGAACAAGCACGCTGTGTTAACACTGAGGAGAACAAGCACGCTGCGTTAACATTGAAGAGAACAAGCACGCTGCGTTAACATTGAGGAGAAGAAGCACGCTGCGTTCACACTGAGGAGAAGAAGCACGCTGCGTTAGCACTGAGAAGAAGCACGCTACGTTAACATTGAGGAGAAGAAGCACGCCGTGTTAACATTGAGGAGAAGAAGCACGCTACGTTAACATTGAGAAGAACAAGCACGCTGCGTTAACATTGAGGAGAACAAGCACGCTGCGTTAACATTGAGGAGAACAAGGACGCTGCGTTAACATCGATCCACGCCCACATGATGCCATTGCAAATGTACACCTCATTACAACACTCAAGGAATAACTGATATCTGAACAACATTTACAGCAGGAATCGCATCAGTGACGAGTTAGAGAACGAAGCTATGTATTGGAATGTATACTTTGTTTGCGTGGAAGGCTGCGGTTACCCTCCATAGATTTATGTACACATATCGCCCTACGTTGTCTATACGGTATCCATATGTTTACAAAGTCTTAAAGTATTGCTATACCTGTCTATGTGACTATTATAGATACTCCAGCGCTAGACATAATTATGTTTCTAAGTCCACCCAATGTATTGCTATACATATGTTTACAAGTACTCTGGGTGAGTGAGTGAGTGAGTTGGGTTTAACGCCGCGTTCAACATTATTCCAGTCATATCACGGCTTGTCAGCTTAATTGTGGGAGGAAAGCCCGAAGTGATGCAAGTCTCAGACGTTTACCACTTCGGTGAAACCCACGAGCACGGGTCTGGTGCTGACAAACCTAGAAACATAATCGGGGCGAACCGGGATTCGAACCCACAATCATAGGTTTCTGGCGTGCCCAAGGGACGCAACTCTGCACAGCGAATCGCAGCGCCTCAGAAGACTGGGCCACCCGTGCACCCCTACAAGTGCGCTGGTACCCATTGTATTGCCATACATGTTTACAAGTACTCCTGTACCCATTGTATTGATATGCATGTTTACAAGTACCCCTGTGCCCATTGTATTGCCATACATGTTTACAAGCACTCCTGTACCCATTGTATTGCCATACATGTTTACAAGTACTCCTGTACCCATTGTATTGCCATACATGTTTACAAGTACTCCTGTACCCATTGTATTGCCATACATGTTTACAAGTACTCCTGTACCCATTCTATTGCCATACATGTTTACAAGTACTGCGTTACCTATTGTATTGCTATACATGTTTACAAGTACTCCTGTACCCATTATATTCATATGCATGTTTACAAGTACTCCTGTACCCATTTTATTGCCATACATGTTTACAAGTACTGCGTTACCTATTGTATTGCTATACATGTTTACAAGTACTCCTGTACCCATTATATTCATATGCATGTTTACAAGTACTCCTGTACCCATTGTATTGCCATACATGTTTACAAGTACCCCTGTGCCCATTGTATTGCCATACATGTTTACAAGTACTCCTGTACCCATTGTATTGCTATACATGTTTACAAGTACTCTTGTACCCATTGTATTGCCATACATGTTAACAAGTACTGCGGTACCTATTGTATTGCTATACATGTTTACAAGTACTCCTGTACCCATTGTATTCATATGCATGTTTACAAGTACTGGGTACCTATTGTATTGATATGCATGTTTACAAGTACTCATGTACCCATTGTATTGATATGCATGTTTACAAGCACTCCTGTACCCATTGTATTGCCATACATGTTTACAAGTACTCCTGTACCCATTGTATTGCCATACATGTTTACAAGTACTCCTGTACCCATTGTATTGCCATACATGTTTACAAGTACTCCTGTACCCATTCTATTGCCATACATGTTTACAAGTACTGCGTTACCTATTGTATTGCTATACATGTTTACAAGTACTCCTGTACCCATTATATTCATATGCATGTTTACAAGTACTCCTGTACCCATTTTATTGCCATACATGTTTACAAGTACTGCGTTACCTATTGTATTGCTATACATGTTTACAAGTACTCCTGTACCCATTATATTCATATGCATGTTTACAAGTACTCCTGTACCCATTGTATTGCCATACATGTTTACAAGTACCCCTGTGCCCATTGTATTGCCATACATGTTTACAAGTACTCCTGTACCCATTGTATTGCTATACATGTTTACAAGTACTCTTGTACCCATTGTATTGCCATACATGTTAACAAGTACTGCGGTACCTATTGTATTGCTATACATGTTTACAAGTACTCCTGTACCCATTGTATTCATATGCATGTTTACAAGTACTGGGTACCTATTGTATTGATATGCATGTTTACAAGTACTCATGTACCCATTGTATTGATATGCATGTTTACAAGTACTGCGGTACTCGTTGTATTGCTATACATATGTTCACAAGTACAGCACACCTGGAAGGGTTCTGCGAAGGTGGCGCTGTCGCGGAAGTCGGTGTTGAGGCCGGTGATGTCGGCAACCCTCCTGCTCACTCGGGCGACGGTGTGGGTGTGGTTGTCCCATAGCCACGCCCTGCAAGAAACAAACACGACCCATAGCCACGCCCTGCAAGAAACAAGCACGTCCCATAGCCACGCCCTGCAAGAAACAAACATGTCCCATAGCCACGCCCTGCAAGAAACAAACATGTCCCATAGCCACGCCCTGCAAGAAACAAACATGTCCCATAGCCACGCCCTGCAAGAAACAAGCACGTCCCATAGCCACGCCCTGCAAGAAACAAACATGTCCCATAGCCACGCCCTGCAAGAAACAAACATGTCCCATAGCCACGCACTGCAAGAAACAAACATGTCCCATAGCCACGCCCTGCAAGAAACAAACATGACCCATAGCCACGCCCTGCAAAAAACAAATATGTCCCATAGCCACGCCCTGCAAGAAACAAATATGCGCCAGACAGGGTAACAACAAGTACCATCTTTTAACGTCGTTTGGTATGACGCGGCCTACGGATTACGAAATATGGAGAGATTAGTAAAGTGGCTACCGCGCTTCTCGGCCTTTCTCTGCTATGTTTGAACACCACGCGAATGACGGCGAATTTTGATTATGCACCCATGTCACATACACGTAAATATTTTCAGACAAAATCCTTGTTTATAAGAAATAATATGACCAGAGTGGCCAGAAAGACATAGTTTAAACAACTTTTTACATATTCACGTAAAAACATTTCTGTTCACTCCTTTACGAACAAGTTTATTTACACGTTTTGTATATTTTTATCGACTATCGGTAATGGCGGAATAGTCGGTACACTGAAAAAACGTAAGTGTATATTTCCATTACATTTATGACGTTCATTGAATGAAATTATAACCATCATCACCCTAATCATCTCAGCATTAATATCGGGTAACTCATATTTTATGCAGTGCTACGAATTACGAGCAATGGCGAGATTAGTAAAGTGGTTACCGCGCCTCTCGGCCCTTTTCTGCCATGTTGCACTTCATGCAAATGACGGCGATTTTTTTTATTATGCACACTTCACATACAGGTAACTATTATAATATCAGACGGCCAATTTGAAAAAAAGAAATCTATCAGACTTGTCAGAAAGATTTACTGTTCCCAAATGTACAGTTACTGGCGTCAGACTACCAACGTTTAGTCCGCAAAGGAAGTTTTTTGTTCAACGACAGTGGAGATTGTCTTTCTGTTTATGATGCTGATTTACAGAAAATATTCTAATCAAAGATATGGAAAGATAGCTATGATCGTTAATATTAAGGTGGTTTATTTATGGGCAGGAAGTTCATGATCAAAACCTAAACATTGAATGGCCAAGCCCGAAGTGATCGACAGGGCACGTTCGCATCATATCTGTGCCGCGATTCCTTGTCTTCCGGTCGCCCTACATGCTCGCCCGTTTCGACAAATAACTGCTACTTTTTTCATATGAAACGACTAAAAGTCCTGTGTGATTGCTCCAACTACCTGACCGTGTGGATGACTTGCCCTAACTGTTTCACATTTTGTTGCAAACGGAGATTTCAAAGGTGTGGCCACGACATCTGATGCATCTTCCCGAGGCAAGAGAGTTAACTGACTATAAAAGTTCAGTTTTCACTCTTGCCGAACTAGGCTGGTATTATGGAGTTACATTTTGGCTGGACTAACGAGTCTATGCATAGTCCAATCAAATTCACGCACCGAAATCGAAATCCGGTTCGTAAACTGTCGTGCAGATTTCGGTCGATTGCAGGATTTGCAAAGCATGTGCATCGCCAACTCGTTTTCAGCAGATATTTTCAAAATCTTTTCATGTTTTTGATCAAGGTGCTCACGTGATTTGATGCATTTCTCGATGTAAGACCCGTTTTATCACAATATAGATCTTGATTATCGATCAGATCGTCCTGACTCGACGCCACCATTTTGTGTGAAGCAAACGCAAGTGATACGAGAGGTGGAATCTGATTGGTCCATAGGAGAGACTTAGAAGTGACGTAACTGGTAATAGCCACCGGTGGTGCTACGATCGAGCCCAGTAATTCCAGCCTTGTTCGGCAGGGGTGGAAACTGGACTTTTATAGTCAGTTAACTCTCTTGCCTCGGGAAGATGCATCTGATGCGAGTCGACGCCATATTGTAAACAAATTTTGTCAAGGTCGGTTTCAAATGTAGTCGCTCGGCCCCCGTTTCTGTCGATGGTACACGCGATACAAACACAATACACCAATTGAAAACATCAACATAACTTCTAAAATGATGACAGCAATACCTTTTTGTATTTGGGTTCACCGCTTATGGATACAACGTGCTTGCTGTTAATTTCGATTTCGACGTAAATTGTCTTTCCTTTCATCGAAACTGTGAAAATCGGGCTGATTGGTTTGCTGATATAGTACTTACCGCGAGTCTAATGTACATGGTACATGCTGTGATTGTACAAGATAATTGATAACCGAAGTATAAATAAGCGGTCTGTGTGATTGCACAACGTAATAATGCGTGTATAACATGTGGCGCCCGAGTTACGAGTGATCGAAAATAGGTTTGTTGAATAGATTTGCTGCTCATGAAAACGTTTCAACGATTTTGATTGAAATTACGTGTACGCACTCTTGTGGGGTGGTACGTTAGTATAATCTTGTTATAATCTTGTTAATTATTAAGAATGCCCGATACTGAGAGATGTCAATTTGAGTATTGTTAGGGTTGTATAGCGATAAATTGTTTGATAGGCATTAAGTGCTTGACAACGGTATACGGATCTATACCGAAACGTCGCTTTTCACAGTATTAAAGAAGTTTTTATCCATAAAATTGTGTCTATCTTGTATAGCGATGTTACACATTTTGTCCTGGAAAAATGTCCGATGTCAACTCCCCCGAAGTTGTTATTATCCCTTATGAAAGAGCACGGACACTGACACCTACATGGATGTTATCAGAATTTCTTCAAGATATACATTCAAAACTGTCATTCGTTTTGAAACATAATCTTTGAAACAGTCTGTGTATGAACCAATCACGGCCACTTCCGTCAATTTTGTTTTGACGTCGAAAAAACTGACAATTTCATCGAGATTATATATCGGCAAATATAAATCACGGAAATTTTCAATGAATGTGTACTTCGACATAAATGTCATATGTCTTTCACCGTTAGGATATGTACTTTCCAATGATATGAATTATTGGGACATTTAGATTTACTTGACTTTACTTTCGACAGTCAGGTGCTACCATATTACGATTATGTAGAAAAGTAGGAAACATACAATACCAGCACTTTTCTCAATAGCTAGGCAGTGCATAGATCTTTTGGATATGTTGACTTTAGATACTGTTGGAAAGACAATCAACTCGAGTTGCATGTTATACTATTTAGAACGTTGTGGCACTTTTGATACAATGTATACGTTTTTGAAACCGCGACGTCATCACAGTGCGGCCAGGCACCATGAGGGTTAAGGTGATCTGTCTTTTGTGGAATAATGGCGTCTCTCACCAAGGCTCGTCCATCCTCGAGGGAATGGAAGTCCGCGATTCCTCGTATTTATTTGGTTGTTCTCTAAATACTTCTAACGGGGTCAACTAAAGGTCAACTCACACTTTGCTGGTTCTAGCTTCGCTCAAAGATCCCTGCCCCGGACGCTGCCCTGTTGTAGCTCTCTCCAGCTGAAGGCGGAGGAAAAATGAGGTTGCATTAAACACAGGAAACAGGATAAAACGAGGTTGATTAGAGAGCAGGAGAAACAAGCTTACAGGCAGGGTGACAACAGGTACCATTTTATAACGTATTTTGATATGACGCGACCGCGGTGATCGAACAACCGACCTTCCGCTTCAAACGCTCTATCCACTAGGCCACAGGGACGGTCAGGGGATCGAACCACAGACCTTCCGCTTCAAACGCTCTATCCACTAGGCCACAGGGACGGTCAGGGGATCGAACCACAGACCTTCGGGTCCCCGGGCACACGCTCTATCTACTGAGCCACAGTATACAACAGGAGAAACAAGGTAGCTATCCGGTCCCGCTTGGTTGTAAGAAAGTTAAAAGAGGGGTCGCCTTGTGCAGGTAGGAGCAAAGCGATACACAACGTACCATGCCAGATGCAAGACGTATAAACACGTCAGCCTCCCAGTCGGCGATGACGTCATGGAACAGGACAATGTGAGGGTCGTCGTGCAGTTCCTCCAGTCTCCACCTCATGAACGGCACGTCTGCAGTCACGTGTCTACAGACAGCCGTGGTCGTCCTGTAACCCTGAAGACAACAGTTAACGTCAGTATCGGCAACGACTTGTTTAACATTCCTTCCCTTCCAGGACAAAGTGGTTAACGTCTAAGACCTGCATTTCTTCGGACTTTCCTCCCACAATTAGCTGACACGCCGTGATATAACTGGAATATACTGTTAAAAGCGGCGTAAAACGTACACTCTCACTCACTCACTCACTCACTCACACTCACACTCACTTCCACGACGGTGTATATAGAAGATTAATAATGACTGACGGGTGACTAGTAACTGAGGCGATGTCGTCATGTGGAAGTGGTCGCTGTACGGAGTACTCACTAGCGTAGATGTATTCATGTGTTGCCTACACAACTCGTCAAACTCCTCATCTGGAAGCGAGTCCTCTGACAGAAGGTTTCCTTTCGGATCTGACAAATGATATCGATCTTCATACATTGGTTGTTTACAAAATATGATTGTGAATACAACGATGCACCATATAAGAATTGTATTAATCGTTATTGACTTAATTGTTTGTTGCAATACTTGTCAATTTACTCATAAAACTAATCTCGTGATTACACTCTAGAATAATCGCTTTCATCCATTCACCTTTCTCCGAGGGTTGGTGTTGGTGCGTGTTGCCCCTAGTAACGGACTGACTGGTCTGAAAACAGGACAGAATGTCACGTGACGTCAGGTGAATAGTTGGAGCGTCGGTGCATAGATGGAGTGTGGACGTTATTTACATAATTTCCGGTGAGCTTTTATTTCGTTTTTGTTTCCCTACAACCGCCTATTAGGAAACCGTCAGATTACAAATTCCATATTGGTTGTATTTCTGTACAATCTTTCCCCTTTTGGGGGGGCAATATTTGGATTCCAACCTGATGTTTAAGAGCAGGAAGACCACTGGCGACATCAAACCAGTCAGACGCTAGAGTTTTGAGCCCAGCCCTCTCTGCAACGGTTGCTATGGCTATACAATCACGTGCCGAGACGTTAAACAATGATGACGTCATCAACATCCCTGTCGTCAGTTTGTACGTCGACTGCAGTCTGAGGAGGCCATGTTGAGATCCTGTCACCTGGGCGGTGTCGGGAAGGGATGTACCAAATCTCCTCAGGTTATCCTCAACTGCAATAGAAGATATACCAAATGTCTTCAATTGCAATTAGAAGATATACCAAATGTCATCAACTGCAATAGAAGATATATCAAATCTCCCCAGGTTTACCTCAACTGCAATATAAACTATACCAAATGTCCTCAACTGCAATAGAAGATATACCAAATGTCTTCAATTGCAATTAGAAGATATACCAAATGTCATCAACTGCAATAGAAGGTATATCAAATCTCCCCAGGTTTACCTCAACTGCAATAGAAACTATACCAAATGTCCTCAACTGCAATAGAAGATATACCAAATGTCCTCAACTGCAATAGAAGATATACCAAATGTCCTCAACTGCAATAGAAACTATACCAAATGTCCTCAACTGCAATAGAAACTATACCAAATGTCCTCAACTGCAATAGAAGATATACCAAATGTCCTCAACTGCAATAGTGTGAGTGAGTTGGGTTTAACGCCGTTTTTAACAGTATTCCAGTTATATCACGGCGTGTCAGCTTAATGTAGGAGGAAAGCCCGAAGTGATGCAGGTCTCAGACGTTTACCACTTCGGTGAAACCCACGAGCACGGGTATGGTGCTGACAATCCTAGAAACATAATCGGGGCGAACCAGGATTCGAACCCACAATCATAGGTTTCTGGCGTGCCCAAGGGACGCAACTCTGCACAGCGAATCTCGGCGCCTTAGACGACTGGGCCACCCGTGCTCCCTTAACTGCAATAGAAGATATACCAAATGTTCTCACTGTCAGTTCTAGAATTTGTTTTGTTTTAATTATTTCGCCGTCGTCTGAAAATAATTGAGCGTAACAATTTTAAGTGGTCACCGCCAGGGTGCCACACAATCAGCCAAGTGACAGAGACGATATCCCAGATCGCCATGTTTATCGGCCCCTGAGACAAGCCTAGGGTCACGGAGGACATCAGGTGACGGTGCGTATTACCTCTCGTCGCCATGGTGTCCGGCAGCAGCTGTAGATACTTGCCCACGTAGCCATGGTAACGTCGCAACCCCACCACAGCGTCAAGCGGGTGGCGTACTGATGACGTCATCGGCAGCGCCTGCAAGTCCAGCTGGACGCTGGCCAGAGTCCTAGGAAAGAGATACACATTTTCTGTTAAATAGAGAATCTCACCCGAGTGTCTTTTGATATCAAATGATCTGTGTGGTGTATCGTTGTTATCTGTGAAAACACTGCATGGCGTCGACTGCGAGAGGCAGGTTTAACCAGAGACCTTTCATGTAACGGCCCCTGGTTTAACTGTGGCTGAAGGGGTCGTTGTCGGCACGGGTACTACATCTATGAACCCCCGGTATGTTTCAGTGTACAGAAATGTACCAAAGCCAAAATGAGAATACAGACCGGTACCCAGTACCCGGTACCCGGTACCCTACACGGCGGACGAGTCCACTTTCCTGAACCCGAATCCGAAACTAAATCCCGTTTTAGTTCCGGTTCGCCTGATTACGAGTGCTTGTGTTTTATACAGCACGCTGGAATGCATCTCTGATCTTGTACGTACCTCGCGGACTATACGCGTACTGTACGTGCGTCACTGTGTATGCTGGTGTTTTATACAGCACGCTGGAATGCATCTCATACAACAGTAGGACAGTTCCGATCCAGAAATTAATAATCTTCCATGCTCAGAGTCAGGAATGGGTTAAGCCAAGCGCACTGCGCAATGCGGAATGGACTCGTTCAAGGGTATCGTTCTGTTTTCTGATTTGGGCTTGTTTAGAAGTTTATTTCTGTTTTGTAGGCCATCGGCCCATGTACACAGCTGATACAACAATATCATATATATGTATATATGGCAATTAGGCACAATATACTTACTATCAAGTGCATATTTACATTTCAGAGCTTCTTTAACGAACTTAGCACATTTGTTAAGGATTGACACATCATTAGAAGTCAGTACTTTATGAAATTTACAAATGTTTGATGAAATATGCCACTTCGGTATGTACTTATTTCTCAACAATACATATGCCTCGCAATCAAATATGAAATGGAGTTCTTCTTCAATGCTATTATTATTACACATCTTACAAATTCGGTTAACAGTTATAGCTTCTTTACATCTGATATTACAACGCAACAGCATTTCAAGCAATCTCAACAAACATATACATCTTCTTAATTCCCTAACATTGATGTTTGTAACATAATATTCAACAGTCAGCAATGACCTAATATTCTTATAATGTGCAAGTCGTTTTGAATCATTGATAATACTAAATACATTTTGTTTTCCACAATCTTCTGATCTCTGTCTGAACATCGACAGAAAATATGGAATATCTCCAATATCTTGACTAACCCATGCATATCCGACACCATACGTGTAGAACAACAATCTTACACAGGATGCCCATGTCTTCCTTCCTGCTGAATCTAACTTCTTAATAAGTAGCTAACATTGTTTGGGGTAACGAACATCTGACATTCTTAACAATTTACACCAGTACTTTACTCATGTTTGGTAGTAATCTATACTAGTATATATGAAGTCCATGTCTACCGCAGTCGGCTAAAGCTGCACTACTCGGTACATGTTTACCAACACCCAATACATATTTACAATAATGATTATGAAATCTTTCAATAACAGCTCTTTCATGGAAGCCCCACACCTCCGCCACATATAACAAAATAGGTTTTATTTTACAATCAAACAACTTAAATAACATATTTAGGGAATATTTTGGGTATTTATGCTGTAATTGCTTAATAAAAAATAGAGCTTTAATGGCTTTTGAAACAAGAGTATTTGTACACACTGTCAATGACAACCTGGTAGAAAACACAATACCTAAATAATTATAATAAGTTGCTGTCTTTAGTAGATCAAAATACCACTTCTCATAATGACGTAAATGACCACCATTTCGAAAAACTAATATTTCTGTCTTATCCATATTTATCTGTAAGCCCCATGATTTACAATATTTACATAAAATGTCAATCTTTCTTTGCAAACCAATAACACTGTCATCAAAAATACATAAATCATCAGCATACAATAATAACAGTAGTTCCAAATATAAATATACCTCTTACATCTGCACCCGATTATGTTTCTAGGTTTGTCAGCACCATACCTGTGCTCGTGGGTTTCACCAAAGTGGTAAACGTCTGAGACCTGCATCACTTCGAGCTTTCTTCCCACATTAAGCTGACACGCCGTGATATAACTGGAATACTGTTAAAAGCGGCGTTAAACCCAACTCACTCACTCACTCACTCTTACATCTGCATCTTCAATCATGGATTGAAATTCTGAAATAAACATTGCAAATACAAACGGGCTCATAACACAACCTTGTCTGACTCCACTTAAACTATCAAAATAATCAGTAATAGTAGTGTAGGATACTCTTACAGCTGCCTTTATATTCGAATACATATTTCTCAGTACAGAGAATAATTTACCATGACCCCTTTATTCATTATTGAATACCACAGTAATTTCCTATTAACAGAATCAAATGCTTTGTTAAAGTCTACATAAATACAGTAAAAACGTCCGCCACTTTTAGATAAATACTTTTGTACAAGACATTGCAGAGTGAAAATTTTATGCGTTGTGCAATAGCCTTTCCTAAATCCTGCCTGGGCCTCAGGTATACTGTTAAAGTGATCAGATAAACGTTTAAGAAGCCCATTTAGAAAAGAGGAGAATAACTTCCCAAAAATATCCATCAAAGATATGCCTCTATAATTATTAACACAGTCAAAGCTTCCTTTTTTATGGAGTGGTACAATAACGCTCTTAGCCCATTCGGATGGAAAATTACCCGTTGACAAAATATTATTATACATAACTAACAAATATGGAATTAAAACAGTACTGCAACATTTGATCATCTCATCTGGTCCCGTAGCTTTACTCTGCTTTAGATCTCTTATGGATGATTCGATCTCTTCCTGTGTAATATCACCATTAAGAATAGTATTTACATCATCATCAGTACAGAAATCACACAATTGTCCATTATGATTATTTATAACATAATCTACCTGCTCAATAATCAAGAGTCCACAAGTATATCAGTATGGTTTCACATATTCTCAAAATAATCAAACCAATTTTCTTGGCAAATGTTGTTGGAAACAGGACTACAACTTGTATTCTTTGTCAATGCACTTATCTTTTTCCAGAATGTTTTACTATCTCCACTACTGCCCACAAGTTCACGAACACAAGTCTCCTCGTATTCTAATCTTTTCTTCCTGCATAAAGACCTGTAACTATTTCTTAATGTAGAATATTTAGAAAGAATCTCTTTATCACCAGTAACTCTAACCTTGTCTAAAACATTAAACTTTTTAGCCTTCATATCCTCACAGTCTTTGTCGTACCATTTTTCTCCAGATTTACGTTTCGATTTTCTATTTCTAGAAAGTAATCCGCATGAAATAGAACCATTATGTACAGCATTGGTCAAAGCTTCAACAGCTAAATCAACATTCAAAGACAATAAATGCATAAACTATCCCATGTGAAGTGCAGACAATGACTCAGAAACATTATGTTTAAAGGCATCACATATTTTTGTACATTTCTGTATACCCGACTCCGTCAGGTGAAAACCAGTTCGCATTGCAGGACTCGATCAAGGTACATAATACATGCACCGTTGCATCCTGTTCCTGACAAATGCTATCTAATATTAATGTCTACAAAATTTCAGGTTTGTGTGCACACAGAGTCGGGCTTTGAACACACTCAGTACTTCTACTTTATCCTACATATTACATCACTAATCCCCGTGTTACGTGTATTGTGTCATGCTTTCTTAGGTGGTACCTAATCAAACTGTGGGTACTTCAACGAGTCGACAATTCTTTCAGCTATGCCCCTTTGCCCTTAGACGGATCCCGGTCGCAAAATTGGCCACGAGAGGAGCACGAGTCCCGGAATAACACGAGTTAGTCACGCATGCAACCTGGCCTGTTTCAACTTTCATAAACTTATGGGATCAGTGAGCAGCCTGATTTTGATTGGTGCAGGCTGCTTTACATGTCAACGTGCACCCGTCGTGACAGCGTGACATGTCTTCAGCATATTACACTCGCATCTCTGCCAAATTAGAGTCCATTACGATTCCGACTTTATCATGAGCATGTGTTTATGACTCACTTTCAAATAGTGATAACACCAGGTGTTCGCGAAGGTGTGTCCTGTCCCACCGGTGGCACCCTTCACGAACACATGATTCACCATCCCCCCCGGCACCCTTCACGAACACATGATTCACCATCCCCCCCGGCACCCAACATAATGCCGGGCAACCACCATGGCGTAAAGCTCGCTTCGTGTCAACTGATCCCGTAGGAAACACCTGAGTCTTCAAACAGCAGTTAATTGCCTCCAAGGGGTCATGGGCCGCCATGCATAATTTGCAACAGTGACAATCGCTCTAAGCGTCCTAAGTAAAGCTTCATCGGATCTTGTGATCCCCGAGGATAGAAGTTAGAGATAAACAACATCTGTGCGTGATGGGAAAACATAGATCCCTTCCCCAAAGCGTCCCCCACCCCCACCCCCACCCCCCACCCCCCGACAACACACTCGTGTATCACTGATTCAACTCCTCCCCTGAAACGAGACACTATTGACAATGTATTTCGTTGTGCGGCTTTAAGAAAACAAAGAATAATCTATATCGGTAGTAAATCTCGATTTCAAAACGCCTCCCTGTCGGATATGTAGGTTCCTGAATCCTATAACCAGCTTGATTGTGGTAAATAATATGTACCTCCCAAGGGGTCTGTATGGATCAGAACTGTAGTCAAATCTATCAAAGGTAGAGATGCTGATGCTGGAGAGGTCGTTCAGATATGTCATAAAATCTATCCAAGACCAGCCGCGACTGACCCTTACTGATGTCTGCTTGAGTCTTCTTGGTGTTCTACCCATTGTATACCATATAGATCAAAGAAAGTTGTATTTCCTGGAGCGCATCATCAACATGAACCGGAAGTTCCTGCCTCATCAGCTGTTCATGACCAGACTGATGTGTTACATTCACCAACTGACAACCTCATCATCAGGATTTGTTCCAGACGTCATCAGATTGTT